TAGTTGCTAAAACCTCCCTAGAAAATAGGAGAAGATTAAGAAATTGGAATCAACTCCTTTTTTAAAAAAAAAATCTATTTCAGATGCTTTTGATTGACACCCTGCCCTGAAATCAGAAGTAAATTATGTCATACTTCAGCCTGCCTCCTTTTTTCCCTTCTCCCTCGTTTCTTTGAGGTGTTTTCTTTTTTTTTTTTTTTTTTTTTAAGATGATCAGAGCTTTTATTATTTTCTTACTATATCTGTATTCCTCCCTTTGCTTCCTCTGAGTGCTACAGTTCATGGATTCTCTGTCTCTTACCATGGTGCTTCTGTCCTGAGTTCTTTATTTTGTTTTGTTGCCTGGTTGGATGTGTTTTAACATCAAGTGCTTTTTTTTCAGGAGGGCCTCGGAAGTGTTAGCCTCTTTAAAGTTTTGAAAACTGAATTGCCTTCTTTCTTCTCATGCCACCTGACAGGTGAAACAAACCTGTGTGGATTCATTTGGTTCCAGCTGCTAAGGATGAAATCAAACCCCTTGAAATCTCCCTCCCCTACTCCCTCATCTTCTCCTTTGAGACCTCTTCCTCCTGTTTTTCCCATCTGATTGGGTCATCAGCCCTAAGCTGAACTTTTGACACATTTATTTAAATGATGTTCATTGACCCAGGGTCATTTTGGTGTCCATCCTGGTTTGCTCTCAAGGACAAAGTTGAGGAAGTTTTACTGGTCAAAGAGCATTAAAGAGAGTGGGAGTGAACTGCGCACCTTGTCCTGGACCTTGCCTCTTGTCATTCAGCTATCCCAACCTTTCATATCACACTTAACTGTCTGTTCCTTTATCTTCCATGCTTCTAGTAAATAGTCCTCCGAACAGATGTACCATGTCTAATTTGGCACTGTCAAAGGCATTTAGGTCACTTTTAGACGTCGTATCATTAGTGAGTGGGCTGCAGTAATAGCCTTCTGTTGATGCCATTTTTTCAGTGTTTATATTTTGTTAGTCCGTGTTTGCATTACTGATGGTTATATTCCTTCTGGGGCGTTGGTGCCCCAGTGGACACATCTCAGCTCTTTCTGTCATCCCTTCCCTCGTCTTCCGGGCCCTCTCCATCCCCTTCCCATTGGAAAAAGATCTCTCTCCCTACCTCCTATTTTATGTCTTTTATTTTGCTCTTTATTTATATTTTGGGTTTCTCCTATAAGAAAAACTATGTGATATTTAAGCTTGTCTAATTTATTTCTTTTAACTTTATGAAACGCTTTCCCTCTAAATCAGGACACGACAAGGTTGTCCACTATACTGCTCTTATTTAACATTGTCCTTGTAACATTGGCCAGGGCAGTCAGGCAAGAGAAAGAAACAAAAGAGATGTGTACAGGAAAGGAGGAAATGCACCATTATGTGCAGATATCATGATCCAAAAATGTCCACTGAAAGACTCCTAGAATTAACAACCAAATTCGGCAATGTGGCAGGATATAAAATGAACAAACAAAAATCAGTAGTGTTCCTGTACACCAATAGTGAACTCACTGAGGAAGAAATTAGGACAACAGTACCATTTACAGTAGGATCAAGAAAAATTCTTAGGAGTTAGCCTAACAAAAAAGTGAAGCGCCTCTGTAATGAAAACTTTAGTACTCTGAAAAAGGAGATCAAAGAGGACATCAGAAAATGCTAAGATAACCCCTGTTCTTGGGTAGGCAGAAACAAAATACTCAGAATGGCCATATTTCCAAAACTGACAACAGAGTTAATCCCAATCAGCATACCAGCAGCACTCTTCACAGAACTAGAGAAAACAGCCCTAAAATTCGTATGGAACCTGAAGAAACTCAGAATAGCAAAAGTGGTCTTGGGTAACAAGAGTAAAGCAGGAGGCATCGTAATCCTAAACTTGAAGTTGTGTTTTAAAGCTGCAGTGATGGGGGCTGGGGATTTAGCTCAGCGGCAAAAGCGCCTGCCTGGTAAGTGCAAGGTCGTGAGTTCGGTTCCCGGTACCGGAGAAAAACAAAAAACAAAAAAGCTGCAGTGATGAAACCAGCATGGTCCTGGCACAAAAACAGATAGATGGATCAGGGGAACAGAAGAGAGGATGCAGAAACAACCCCAGGCACATTCAGCTGTTCAGTCTCTGGCAGAGGGGCCAGAAACACACGCTGAGGGAGAGATCCCCTCTTCGGTAAATGTGCTGGGAAAACTGGCTGTCTACACGCAGAAGTTTCAGTCTAAATCCGTATCTCTCACCATGCACTGAATTAAAATTAAAATGGATCAAGGACCTAAATGTTAAAACAGAAACCTTTAATCTGCTGGAAGATACAATAGGTAAAACTCTTGAGGACATAGACGTTGCAAGGACTTTCTGAACAGAACCTCAGTGGCACAAGAGATAGCACTGAGATTCAACACATGGGATCATATCAGATGGAAAAGGGAATAACTCAGAGTGAGGAGATGGCATGCAGAATAGGAATGGGAAAGAATGGGAATGGGAAAATTTTTTCCTATTTATTCTTTGGACAAAAGACTAGTATCTGAAATACATAAAGAACTCAAAAAAATGGATCCCATTTTTACAGGATCAATTCCTAGAATTAAATTTTGGTGTCAGCATATAGAATGGTTGAAACTCAACAAAAACAAACAACAAAAAAACCCTGTGAAGTAATGATATGTATGTGTGTGTGAAGTAATGTGGAGACGCAGAAAGCATTTGTGCTGTGTGTGTAAAGATAGAGAGTGCAAGCACACACTCATGCACTGGCTCTTGCAGCTGAGCACTGCCAGTGGCTTTGTCTCTCCTAGTACATCTCCTTCCCCTGCCCCTGCACGGAAACTCCGTATCTGTTACTCCCTTGCTTTTTGTTAGAGTTAATACGTATTTCTGAAATGTTAAACAACATGTTAAGTTTTGCACGTTTTTGTGTTTTGTTTTGTTTTTCTTTAGTACTGGGGATTGAACCCAGGACCTTTGCACTGAGCTACATCCCCAACCCTTTTTTCATTTCTCACTTTTTTTTTTTTTTTTACTTTTTTTTTTTTGAGACAGGGTCTTACTATGTAACCCAGGCTGGCCTCAAACATGCAGCGATACTCCTGCCTCAGTCTCCCAAGTGCTGGGATTACAGGCATGTTCTGTCACGTCTGGCCCTTTTTTAATTTTTATTTTGTGACAGAGTCTCACTAAGTCACAGAATTGCCCAGGGTGGCCTCAGATTTGTGAGCCTCCTGCTTCAGCTTCCCACAGTGCTGGGATTACAGGCGTGCATCACAGCTTTGTTTATTTTTCACCTGTTTATCAATTATATTTTTTGTGTTTCTCTGCAACTTATGCTTTCTGCTTAACATTGAGATTTCTGACGTGTGTGCATATTGATGCCGAAAGCCCTAGTTTATTAATTTGCCCTGCTGAATAGTATTATATTACATTGTGTGGATCTACCATAGTGAATCTTCGTGGATCATGGATATGAGCGTTATTTCTGCTTTTTGGCTCTCAGCATTCAGTGCTTTCTGGAGCATTCATTCTCGGTCTCATTGGGTTTCTTTTAGCACATATGTGTAAGAGGTTCTTGGGAATGTACTCTAAAGACTAAAATTGCTAGGCCAGGTAGTATGCCTGTTTTAGTTAGGCAGCTTCTTAAAATTGAAGCATAATGTTCAAACAGAAAAGGGCTAAAGTCAGGATCGTAGCTCAGTGAGTTTTCCAAAGCATCCATTTATCTTGCTCCCAATATAGAAATCAGACACTCACCAGACCCTCAATTGTTTTGAGTCCTGTCAGTCACAGCCTCCAACACAGCCTTGCTCCCTTGGATAACTACCTACTTGCTGTTCTAATTTAAAATCTAGCTGCAGATTTAGTCTTGGCATGTTTCTGCAATTTACCTAAATGGCAGCGCAGTGTAGGATGGGTCTCGCTGCTTCTGCAGTATGAGAAGTACGAGAAGCAAATGTTTGTGAGCCACACCCAGGTTGCAGCCTGTAGTTCATTCACATGGCTGGGTAGCATGCCATTGTTTAAATATACTGCAGTTTATTTTCCTAGTCTATGCCTGGACAAGTTGGTTGTCTTTAGATTTTTCATACTATAAACAGTAGCCCTATTGGGACTGGGGATTTAGCTCAGCGGCACAGCGCCTGCCTGGCAAGCGCAAGGTTGTGAGTTTGATTACCGGTACTGGAAAAAAACAAAAAACAAAAAACAAAAAAACAAACAGTAGCCCTTTAAATGTTTTTTAATACATGTAGTGGTGCCCAAGTTACAAGTTCTTTGTGGAAAATATATCAAGGTGAGAATTACTGAGCATGTCCTATATATATCTTTAGTTATTCAAGATAGGGCCTGCCCAGCATGGTGGCACATGCCTGCAATCCCAGCACTCGAGAGGTGGGGCAGGAGGACTGCCGTGAGTTCAAGGTCAACCTGGACTACATAATGAGTTCAAGGTCAGCCTAAGCTACATAGCAGGACCCTGCCTCAAAAAACAAATAAACCAAAAAACCCCACAAAATAAGGTAGTGTCAAATAGTGTCCATTTAAAACACTGATATTTTCTCAAATTCCACAGTGGTTATATTCCTTTATATGTGTATGTATATGTATGTGTGTTTATATATATGTATACACACACACACTTTTTTTTTTTTTTTTTAATTAGGACCATCCTAATGAAATTGCCTGTCTTTTTTTTTGGTCTTTTTGAGACAGGGTCTCGCTATGCAGTTCAGGCTGGCCTTGAGCTCACTTTGTAGCCCAGGCTGGTCTCAAACTTGCAACAATCCTCCTGCCTCAGCCTCCCGAGTGCTGGGATTACAGGTGTGCGCCGCCATGCCCGGCTGAAATTGCCTGTCTTAAGAAACAAACTTCTTTTTTCCCCTTGCTCATATAGTACTCTATCAAAGTTTTTTCTTGTCCATGTAATCGGTAAAGAGGCCTTAGAATGAAGGAGAGTTGATACCTGAGACTCTATTTTATAAGCAAACCTCATTAATGCTTGGTTTTCTTTTGCAGCCTGAGAACTCAGATCATTGTTCCCTGCCTGAGGATCTGGTGAGTATTTCTGCATGCTCTGTACTGGAGTTAATTGTGCCTCGGATGATATGCTAAGCAAATGAGAGTAACACTTTGTGAATTTCTTTTTATTTGGTTGCTGATTAAAGACTTTTCAAATGAGCATGGTCACTATATTATCAGATGTCGGTGGTAGTAGTGTTACGGAAACCACTTTACACCCCGAAAATCTGAACTTTAGGGCAGAGGCTGTATTCTTGAGATAGAAGAACTTAGAAAAATATCAGAAGAGTTCTTGGATGTTTATCTGCCACTTAATTTTGCCTTCTGTTAAGAGTCAAGTTGAGGCTTATAATTGTGACTGTCACCTTTCCCCTGTCCTGATCCTATGGATTCCAGGGTCGCGGCAGTTTCTGCATTGTCAGTGCATGCATGGGCTTCCTTCACTTCACACAAACTGGGCAGCTGAGACAACAACAAAGTATTTGCTCACAGTTCTGGAGACGAGGGTCTGAAATCCGGTACCAATGGCTGTGGAGACTGTTCCTTGCCCCTTCCCGCTCCTGCTGGTTGCCAGCAGTGGTTGGCATTTGCTGGAGGGCAGATGTGCTGCTCTGAGCTCTGCCAGCAGTGTGAGTCTTGGCCTCTTCTGTGTCACCTTGTCTGAGTCTCTTTTCTCTAAGGTCCCCAGTCATAGAGTGTTTACAGCTTGCTCTAATCCAGTATGACCTAGTCATAACTACTAACATCTGTAAAGACCCTATTTCCAAATAGGGTTGTGTTCTTTTTTTTTGAGATTCTTGCTATACAGTTGAGGCTGGCGTTGAACTCACCGTGTACTCCAAGCTGGCCTTGACCTTGTGGTGATCCTCCTGCCTCAGCCTCCTGAGTGCTGGGATTAGAGGCATGCACCACCATGCCTGGCCTAGGTCACATTCTGAGGTTCATGGTGGACATGAACTTTTGGAGAACAGTAAGCTAATACAATGAGTATTTGGTTAAATATGCTAAAAGAGCAGTTATATTGCTTGCAGTTTCTCCAGTGGTATACATGAAGGGAGAGTTTCGTTGGCATATTGACACTGTTGTAACTGAGATTGGTGACTGACTAGCAAGAGCAGGTGCTAGTTTAATAGTCATTACTTGTTTCTCCTACGTTATGCAGGAGTTGGGTTGGAACACCCTCAGGTAGGCTGTAGAGAAAATGGGCTCACAGCAGGATGGCAGGCCCACACTTGGGTCTGACTCAGTTTCTCTATCGAGCCATGTGACCCAGAAAATGGAAACGAATAGGAACAGATGATTCATGGTTTTCCAGGGACCTGCCCTCTACACTATTTGATCCAGATGTCAGGAGATGAATACTCAGCTGCTGTTTCTTGGGCCTGAGCTAGGAAGGTGGTGGTGGGTAGAGTCAGGCCTGGTGTACTGCGGAAGGAGCTGGGGTGCCCGTTCTTCGGGTGGAACGTGGGCTGGGGAGGGGTAGCCCAACCTAAAATGAGCGCTGAGGGTGGAGATTTACAGATGCAAATGCTGCCAGGGGCCGAGCAAATAAGATGGATGTGTGAAGCCCTGCATGTATGTTACGGGGTGCTGATTGGGGTTCATGGTAAACTGACAGAAGTTCCCGATTTGGACTCTGAAAAGCAAACAGAAGGCATCTCCAAACTAGATCCACCCTGAGATCACAAGCTCACCAACTTGCTGATAGGTTGTGGCATTTGCTTGGAGCCTGGAGACCGAGAAATGGAGAGTCCCTGGGCTTGAGGTCCTTCTGTATCAGAGTCTGAGTATTCTTGGAGCGTACATTTAAGATTTTGTTTAGTTAGCCAAGACTGACTAATACAGGGATCTGTGGCAGTGTCGCTTTAGAAGGCACATGTGTTTTATTTTCATTGCAGTAGCCACTGTGGGGTGCTTTGATTCATATTTAAGCGACCTCTGGAATGTGATCATACATTTGAAGACTAAATACATTTGAAGACCAAATACAACTTCTTTTGTTCATTTCTGCAGTTGGCTGGTGGTAGTGTATTTTTCCCTCCAGCTCTTTTTAGTAGCTTTTGGCAAAAGCAGTAATGCTTAAAAAAAAAAGCAATCATGCTTGACTGCTGCTTAGGATAATTGTTTTTTAGGTCCAGTTTTTCAGTTTCAGTTATCTTGAGATTCCAAGTGATAAAGGGAGCTGGATGATAGCGGATTATGGCACAGAGGTACATTTTCCACTCCAACTTGCAAACAGGCTTACCATGTAATACAGGGAGGCATCTTAAAAGACCTGCTAGGAGAATTTGGGAGGGGAGGATGCCTACTGGGAAGAATTTTGCCTGGGAAACATTGTCTCTATGTATCATAAGCCATTTTTGTTTTAAATCTATGTGTGCAGAACTCCGTTTCAGTATTGAATGCGTTGGGGGAAGAGACAGTATTAGGGTTAAGGATGAATGAAATGAAGATAGCCATCTGTCCTTGGCATAATCCGTATGTACATTTCCTCTCTGCCCCTGTCTCCTTCCTCCTACCGGTGCATTTCAGAGAGTGTCGGAAGTTTCCAACCACTGGTGGTACTCCATGCTCATCCTACCTCCTTTGCTGAAAGACAGCGTGGCAGCGCCTCTGCTCTCTGCCTACTACCCGGACTGTGTGGGCATGAGTCCTTCCTGCACCAGCACGAACCGCACTGCCACCACCGCCTCCGCCACCACCACTGGCAGTGCCAGCCCGGGGCGGCTGGAGCCCTCCAAAGGCGCCCCTTCTGTGCTTGGTGAGAGCTGTGCTAGTCTTCTCTCCTTTCCACCCCCCTTGTATTTCCCCACAAATGTAAGGGAAAGCAAAGGCAAAAGATTTTTTAAAAATTGTCTGAGACTCTATATAAAGCACCTTATTGTCTCATCCCTATCACATCAGTGGATTCAGCCAATGCATTTTGTAGAAAATGTCTGAGAGAAAAATTATGTTTGCACTGGACATAAACAGGCTTTCAATTGTCCTGAAATTCCTAACAATGCAACACAACGGTTTATATGACATTTATGCTGTTAGGTATTAGAAGTAACTTAGAGATGATTCCAAGGCTGAGTCTAGGTTATATGTAAATACCGTGCCACTTTATATAAGGGACTTGAGCAGCCAGGGATTTTGATCCCTAGGATGTCCTGGAACCAACTGCTCAAGGATACTGAGGCTTGATGACTGTGCTGTGTGTCAGTCAGGTCACTGGTAGTGTGCAGTTAAGTTTTCACTCACTAACTTGGACAACCCACAACATTAATCTATTGATTGCCTACAGGGTTTAATGAATGTCACATTGAAAGCTGGGTAGCTGTATAAGTTAATGAGTACAGGAACACTGACTTACGAGAAGAAACACCAGTTTTGAACTGTATGAATAGCACTTTTTTCTCTGTACCTCTGATGATCCCACTGATAATCAACTCTCAGAAGAATTCAGAACTTCAGGCTAGCGCAGGTTAGGTAAATTTTACAAAGTACCTTTTCAGTAATGCTGACTGTGGACTGTAAAGCAAGGAAGCTGTAAGATCCTGTCTCTTCCACCACCTGTGCATGAACAAACGGTATTTTTGACAGTACAAACAGATTTTTACATTGCAGCCCTATCCTAAAGTCTCTAACTGGCAACACTGGACTCTCTCAAAATGTGTATGTGAAGATCCCAGTTAAGGTGGTGTTTAAGGAAGGTGTGATGTAATAGCACTGAAACTCTTAGTGCGAGTGTGCATTTATGCAGGGCAGTGTGGCAGTGTGCATCCAAAACCTTAAAGTAGATTCCCTTGGACTTAGTAGATACCCCTGTTGGCTGTAGGAAGGTACCCTAAGTAAATGACTGAATGAGTCAAGGCTTTATGTGCAAAGAAATGTGCTTTGGCATTGTTGATAATAGTGGAATTATATTATGTAGCCGTTGAAGTCTTGTTTATTGATGTGGGAAAATGCTTATGATATTGGAAGTTTTAAAAATCAGATTAGAAAACAGCAGTCTTACAGCATTTCCCTCCAGCTTTGTGAAAGTAAATGTCTGTTATATTAATATTCTCTACTCATTGAAGCAGAGACAGAGTGCGCCCCTACATGGAAGCCCATCCTTGGGACACAGTGATGATTCCATTTTGTAATAGGAAACTGCGCAAAAAAAGTTATTTGGGACATGTATTTCCATGAGGAGCTGTTTATTGCGTATAGTTTTAGTCTTGCAGGATGAAGGTCTAGAGATCTGTTGCACAGCAGTGTGAATATCCATTCACTTTAAGTGGCTAAGGTGGTAAATTTTACAAAGTACATTTTCAGCACCATTAAAAATTGTTTCCAAAATTTCCCTACTGTGGAAATGGTGTGGATAACTAAATGGTGTGGGTCACTGGAGGAGAGAGGTTGGGGAAAAGGTTTTGCTCTGTGTGCATTGCCCACTTGGACAGAAGAAGCGAGTTTTTGTGCAGGTTGGATGCGGAGCGTGTCCAGGCTGCCCTTCTTGGCTTGCTTTTGTTCTTTAAGTCTCCTGGAGCTGGAGGTTGCAGCTTGTGGGAGGTGCCTGCTTGTGTCTGCTCCCAGTTCCAGGCATGAACCGGTACTTCCAGCCTTTCTACCAGCCCAATGAGTGTGGGAAAGCCCTGTGTGTGCGGCCCGACGTGATGGAACTGGACGAGCTCTATGAGTTTCCTGAGTACTCGCGAGACCCCACCATGTACCTGGCTCTGAGAAACCTTATCCTCGCCCTGTGGTACACAAACTGCAAAGTAAGTAAGGCTATGCTCAGCACCCAGTGTGGGCGGAGCGCTTTCACTGGAGGAGAGACGCTGCCTTGGGGAGGGAACCTTTACAGCACCATTCTCAGCCTGGGCACTGTTACCGTTTGGGGTGGATAATTCTTAAGGGGCAGGAGATGTTGTCCTGTGCACGGTGGGACATTTAGCAGTGATCCTCGCCTCTACTCCACATGCCGGGAACACTGCCCCGTTGGGACAACCAAATACGTGTTGAGCCTCCCTGGTCCAAAATGTATGAAATTCTCCAAAATCTGAAACTTTCTGAGCACTGTGTCAGCACTCAGACTTTGGAGCATTTCAGATTTCAGATTCTTGGATTAGGGATGCCTAAGCAGTGTGTTTCTAGACTTTTCCAAATGGGGTTGGTGACAAGAAGTAGAGGACAGGCCTGGGGTGGGGACCCCTTCGGTGCCTGTTCTAAATGTCACGTCCTGGGCTGAGGCTGAGGCTTTGTTCAGCTGAATCTGAAACGGACAGGGTCTGCCCAAAGCTGGGGCAACCAAGAAGGTGTAGGTTCCTAAACAGTACCCTGACCTGTTTCTAGTGGTGAGTGCCAGCTTTGCTGCTGCCAGAACCTGGATTTCTGGGGCAGCCTGGATTTTTAGTGGCCTTTGACTTGGGGAAGTGATGCAGTCTGCCACCATGTCCCTTGCAGCAGTCATTTCCTGTGAGGGGAGACTTAGGTTGCGGTGCAAATTGCTGCATCTCTCATTCGACCCTTGCTTCTTTTATTCTTGACCTGGCAAACCTCCCTTTGTTTTTCCTGTCTTAATGATAAATGTTGGATGTGAGTTATTCTGGAGTTTTATTATTATTGTTACAATATTATTATTGTTATTGTAAAATATACATAAAACTTAACTGCTTAACCATTGTAAAATGTGCGGTCCAGTGGCACTAAGTCCATACCCGGTGTGGTACAGCCATCACCACTGTCTAGGTCCAGAGCTTTTGGATGACACCAGGAGGAAACCTCATACCTAGTCATTTCCCATCCCCACCCCAGGCCCAGCCTTTGGTAACCACTAATCTACTTTCTCTCTCTGTCAATGGGCCCATTCTGGATATTTCATATAAATGGAATCATACAGTATTTGGCCTTTTGTGAGTAGCTCTTTCACTCAGTGTCATGCTTTCCAGGCTCATCCATACTGTGGCATGTGTCTGAACGTCATTCCATTTTACGATGGACTAATACTCTGTCGTGTAGATATATCACCTTCTCCTCATCCACCCATGCATACTGCATTGTTTCCACTTTTTGGCTATTTGAATATTTCTGCTCTCAGCATTTTGTTTGAACTTGTGTTTTTAATTCTTTGGGGTATATCCCTAGGAGTGGAATTGCTGGATCACAATAATTTTATGCTTAACTTTCTGAGAAACCAGGGTTTAAAAAAAAAATTTACCGTTAAGTTGACAAATAAAATTATATCTATGTATAATATATAACATGACATTTTGAAATTTGTATATATTATGGGATGGCTCAGTCAAGCTGTTTAATATATGCACAGGCTTACATATTTTTTGAGAACATTAAAAAATCTGTCAGTGATTTCAGGTACATAATATGTGTTACTAACTACAGTCGCTATGTTATACAATAGATCTCTTGAGCTTGTTCCTCCCTAACTGAAATTTTTACTTTTTGACCTATACTTTCTCACTTCCCACCCCTGCCAGTCCCTGTGAACTCCCACTGTGCTCCCAACTTCTGTGGACCCAGTTTTTAGATTCTACATGTCAGTGAGATCATAGAGGATCTGCCTTTCCGTTCCTGGTTTTTCATTTAACATAAGGTGCTCTAGGTTCATCCACCTTACGGCAAAGGACAAGAGTTCCTTCCTTGTTAAGGCCGACTAACATCCCATTGTGTAAATACACTATTTTTTTCACTATCCATTCATCAGTTGGTGGGCCCTGAGTTGATTCATATGTTGGCTGCTGTTACGCCACAAGGAATGTGGTGCAGATAGCTCAGTGACACACTGATTTATTTCCCTTGGGTATATACCCTGTAGTGGATTTGCTAGATAGTAGTTGCAGTAAAAAATTAAATGGTGGTTCAGCTTTCTGCGGAACTTTGGAACTGTTTTCATGACAAGGGTGCTAATTTACATTCCCACCATCTGTGTTCAAGGGGGCCCTTTTTTCCACATCTTACCAGCGCTTGGCACCCCCTGGCCCCCGTGCTGGGGATCAAGCCAGGCCCTTGTGCAAGCTAGGCAAGTGCTTTGCTGCTGATCTGCATCTCTGCTCTTGTTTTGCTGTTTTGATAGTAGCCATTCAGTGAGGTGATGTATCATTGCGGTTTGACTTTGCATTTCCCTGGTCATCGGCGATGTTGGACGTTTCCTCACATACAAGTTGGCCACATATCTGTCTTTTGAGAAATGCCTATTGAGGTTCTTCGCGCTCTGCCTTCTTCTTGCGGTTCTGGGGATCTGGTTCAGGACCTCATGCATGTGCAGCAAGTGCTCTGTCACCAAGCCTCATCCCTGGCTCCTACTTTGCCCACTTTTAAGTTGGGATATTTATTTTCTTGTTATTGATTTGAATTCCTTGAGGTTTTTTTTCCTTTTAACAGTTTTGGTTTTACCTCCAAACACACAGGAAGCTCTTACTCCTCAGAAATGCATTCCTCATATCATCGTCCGGGGCCTTGTGCGCATTCGGTGTGTTCAGGAAGTGGAGAGGATACTTTATTTTATGACGAGGAAAGGTCTCATCAACACTGGAGTTCTTACTGTGGGAGCCGACCAGTATCTTCTTCCTAAAGACTATCACAATGTAGGTGACGTGCTTCGTAATATCACTGCTGTTGGTCATGATGAAATACCAGGGTGTTTGCTGTTAGTAATACTAGCAAAACTACATCACCATAAAACTTACACAGCCAAGACTTTTGTAGAATATATTTCTCCAAAGAAGAGAATATCAAGTGTAGTTTCTCCGTACTGCAGAAGAAAATGGGGGTGGGGGTGGGGAGAAGGGATTAAGCAGTACTACCGTAGGCACTTCATTCCTTTAGGAATGTAACTTTCTAAGGACTTCAAAGAAATGTAGATGAGCTAATGTCACTTGGTAGTTAGTACCTTCCGGAATGACTCTAGCAGAGCATTGTCATCCTTGCTGTAATTGGAGATTTGTTTCTTTTCTTTTTTTCAGAAATCAGTCATCATTGTTGGGGCTGGTCCAGCAGGGCTCGCAGCTGCTAGGCAACTACATAACTTTGGAATTAAGGTAAGATTTTGGGGATGTGTAGGTGGAAACAGATGGTTAATTGCTCCTTTGGTCCAAGTTTTCAAAGATTTAGAAACTAGATCTTAATTTTAATGAAGAATATTAAATGCAGTATGCCTTTACAACAGACCCTAGAAAAGTTGTAGCATTTGAGAATGGTTTAACAAAAGAAAGGTAGAATAAGATAGAAATTCTCACAGCTTCAGAGAGAGTTTTAGATTCTCATGAGCAAGTCAGAGGAAATTCTAACTTCATGTTAAAGCAAACGTTCTTGACAGGTTATCATTAACACAGTAGAGGAGATAGTTTGAGTTGAAGACAGCATGGAAATTTACTGTTTCTTGGACAGTTTCTGAAATACCCAGTTTTTCTGGTGCAAACCAAAGATCTGCTTTAAATCTTAGTTGGGAAAAGAAAAATCTTTGCTTTTGGAAGCAAATAATCAGTTCACTGGATGAGATAGGATTATATGGCTTTTGTGGTATTACGGGTATTTAAGGGCAGCTTGCAGTTGCCAGTTTTTTTATTCCAGTTACAACAGGCCAAAATAGAGCCCATGATACACAAAAAATTGTACGATTCAATATCTGATTTCCATTAATCTATTTAGTCACTTCCTAGATTTTTTGATGTGCTAGTTCTGACATATTTCTCGGGGTTCAAGCTTAATTTGAAAGTGCTTGCGTAGAATTGCATTTGCGTTTTCACTGCTCTCTCTCTGGCTAAAAAAATGATGCTTCGTTTTTCACAATGAAGGTTTTTGAAACAATTTTCTGAGAAAAATTTCTCATAGCTGTGACTAAGAGATTTCTCTCCTGGTTGGAGGGAAGACCACATCTGAGGATTACATTATACTGCTGACAAAGCACGAGTCTGAGTTTGATCTATAAGAAGTGTGCTTGCTTTTTGAAATATTTTCTCTGTGGTATTAAACTAGAAAATATCTTAGGTGATTATTTCAACATTAGATATAAGGGCCAACCTTTTTTGTTCGTGCTTTACTTGAAAAACATACAAAGTATATTGCCGGGAGGGTTATTGATGTTCTTAAGTCAATAGAGGCTATCTTTAACATTCAGTCTTCCTCTTAGAGGGTAGAAGTGAGAAATGGATGGTTCGGTGTTCAGATGAAGTCAGAGTAAGGGGATGGGGAGGGAGGTACCATGACTTGGAGCCTTCGTAGTTAGAGAAGTGTTTAGACCTGAGAAAGAGTGTCCAGAGAACCCCTGTTACTCTTCTCAAGTGATGAGGGAGACAGCTGGGGGACCGTCCATCCCCCTAAAGGTTGGGAACAGAAATGGTTGGGGATAGAAATGGATTCCTGTGAGTAACCTGAGAGATGGCTAAGTCAGGGGTCTGTTCTTGAGCAATTCAAAGTAGTGCTTATGGGATCCAGAAGTGAAAGAGCTGGTCTTGCAGTAAGTAAGAGTCCCATTTTCAGCAGATAACCCAGGGAACTGAGGCACTTCGACTTCCAGGGCTACAGGTGAGATGTGGCTTGTCCCCTGTAAGAGTAGCTTCTTGTCCCTGTGCATTAGAAATGTGAAGATAAATAGCCTGGCAGTGGGACACATTTGTTCAGGCTGACTCCTGAGGTCATCCTTATACCCAGTGGGAGAGTTTTGTTTTTTTTTTTGGTTTTTCTCCGGTACCGGGAACCGAACTCACGACCTTGCGCATGCCGGGCAGGCGCTTTTGCCGCTGAGCTAAATCCCCAGCCCCAATGTGGGATAGTTTTTTTTAAAAAAATAATAGTCATGCCTTAGGTTCTTAAGTTCTGTTTGCAATGCCAAAGGAATTCTTCCTGGATGCATAGATATTTATAGGAGAATCAGTTCTTTAGCCCAGTTGTTCATTTCACTTACGGAATATTACTTAGTAAAAGCTTTCAAAGTTCATTTCATGCATTAGCCAGTAAAGCCATTACCTGGTTTGAGAGGAAACAGTGGGAGGGATTCCTCTAACAGAGCGGTCAGATTCTCCTTATCAGAACCTGATTGCTCTGAGCGTGTGCTTTGGCTTCTGTTCAGACTCAAGTAAAGTTGCAGCTTGAGAAACATAATAGATTATGGAAGTAATTTAATACCATCATTCTGCATTTTGTGATACTCTCCCTGGTGTGACTACACTGTCCTACTTGGATGCCCTGCTTGTCTTTTTAGGTGACTGTCCTGGAAGCCAGAGACAGAATTGGAGGCCGAGTGTGGGATGATAAATCTTTCAAAGGTGTCACGGTGGGAAGAGGACCCCAGATTGTCAATGGCTGTATTAATAACCCAGTAGCACTAATGTGTGAGCAAGTGAGTTTCTTTAAGATTTGCATTGTGGACAAAGAAAAGAAAAATTGTCTTGGTTTGCTTGTACATAGTGCAGTGTTAATATGCATCTGGGGATATAGCTCATTGGTAAGAGCACTTGTCTAGCAGGTGTGAGCACCCAGATTCCATCCTCAGCAGCAACAAAAGATCCACAGTATTAGTATACTTTGAACCTAGACAACATACAACAGCCGCTTATCCTCTCTGCAGAGTAAATAGGAACAATGAAAAGTCTGCTTTTCTATGAAGGCATGTAAAAGTTTTTCTGTTTTCCAAGAGCTTTAATTTTACTTGTGTGTTATTTGCAGGCCACTTGATTAGTTCACAATTTGGGTTGCCAGATTTAGTAGATAGAATGATAGGGTTCTTAATTTTTTGTTGCAAATATGTCCTAAATATTTCACTGGAAGCAGGACCTGGTGGCATATACCAGTATTGCAGTGGGAGAGGCTGAGACAGGAAGATCACAAGTTCAAACCCAGACTAGGCAACTTAGGGACTTAGTAAGACCCTCTCACAAAAAAAAAAAAAAGAATTGGGGTTGGCATTGTAGTCCAGTATGAAGGCCCTGGGTTCAGTCCCTGTGGGATATTTTGCATGCAGTATTTGGGGGCATCCCTAGTACTTTAAAAAAATGTTTGCTGAAAGTGAATTAACTAGGTGTTCTGTCTGTTATCTGGCAGCCTGGCTGGGCCAAGGTTTTCTCTCTAGACATTTACTGATAGTAAACCAGTTTCTGCGTCCCTGAGGGTTTGTGTGTCTGTGTGTTCATTTCCGTGACGGTCCACAGGGGAGGCATAGTGTCTCATGAAGGCAGTAACTGGCAGCTTAGGGCACATGGCACGCGAGCAGCGGCTGCACCCGCATGTCCTGGTACATGCAGGCATCCTGGATACCATGCGGTTTTCTGGCTGCCTCGCTTTGCGGCTGTTCCCCGTGAAGCACATTGAGCTTTACTTTTGAGTCTTTTCCATGACAGCTCTGTCTATTTGCAGCTTAGAACCTGTGAATATTTTTTCCCTGGGAGAATGTTCACCTTCTTATTCTTATTATTTTGAAGCTTGGCATCAGCATGCATAAATTTGGAGAAAGATGTGACTTAATTCAGGAAGGTGGAAGAATAACTGACCCCACCATTGACAAGCGCATGGATTTTCATTTTAATGCCCTCTTGGATGTTGTCTCTGAGTGGAGGAAGGATAAGACTCAGCTCCAAGATGTCCCTTTAGGAGGTACGGGGAGAATGGTGTTCTGCTGTGCGTCTCAGTCGCGCTCTTACTAAGCTTGACAAGTGGCAGCACGGTTCCTGCGTGAGCCTGGCCGCTTGCAGTAGGGAGGACCCTTACACCAGTCCCGTTGGGACGATGGGCTTACCTGGTGCCTCCAGTGCTCCTCCGCGTGCCTGCATAGGTGAGCCTTCCTTTACCCAATAGCTGGCGTTTTACAGTCATCTAAATGTTTAACTTTAAATTGCTCGGAGGCACTTACTCTTAGGGAAACATGGTAAGCCCTACGTGAATAAATTGTCCCCCTGTAACATGTTTTCTAGGTAAAGGTTTCTGTATAGGGTTTTTCTTTTCTTGCAGCAGTAGGTTATGATTTTTTCCAGTGTATTTTGCTTCAGAAAGGGTATTATAATTTAAGAATTTCAATTCAGAATATTCGGTTTGGGTGATTCAGTGGAGAGCATTAACCACAACATGGTGAGCACTCGAGTGCCCGCAGTGACTCCTTGCCCGAGGGTGCCAGCAGAAGTTTAACGTGCCGCTGCTTAAAATAGGGGCTGGGGATTTAGCTCAGCGGCAAAAGCGCTTGCCTGGCAAGCGCAAGGTCGTGAGTTCGGTTCCTGGTACCGGAGAAAAACCAAAAAAAAAAAAAAAAAGACCCTGTCTTAAAATATTCATGTAACCTACAGTTTGGTGCCCTGTGTTCATTTGTCGTTCTTGGAGGCATGGCATTTATTGAAATGACAACATTTAATCTCAATTTGTAAGGTGTTTATTTGCTGTGATTCTGTGTTCTCTTGCAAAGGGGGATCTCGGTTGTTGAGACTGATACATGTTTCATTTCATATGAGGCAAACGTCTCAGTAGTAGGGATGATTTGTCTCTCCTTTTCAGCATCCCCCTGAGAGACTGACCCCCTGCTCTGATCACTCTGGGAAAGTGTCAAAAGACATCTTAACAGAACATTTTCAGAAATGAGCTCCAGCTGACAGATCACCCTGACTCAGATGCTGCAGTGCCCAGACCAAGTGGTTAGTTGCTGAGTTCTCTGAAGTTGACAACAGTTACTTAGGCTGGCTTGCAGGACGCTCTCAGAATTAGTCCTGCACCTGTCTGGTGGCTGCTCGCTGGGCCTTTCTTTATATTTCCGAGTTACAAAATTTAAAAAATTGATGATCTACTTTGCCGTGGCCTTCCTCTAAAGTCACTAAGGAAGGTGCGGCAGTCCTGTACAAGTATTTTATGAAAAAGCTTTCACGGTACTATGCACATCTGTATATAAAGGTTATAGTTATATTCTACCTGTCACGATCTTGGACACTGAGCTCTCACTTCAGTAGCATGTAGCTGAAAGAAACAAAATATAAATACTAGGAGTCCAGAGTTGATTTCACAAAGCATGTGTACTAAACTCTCTAAATATTACTTACATAAAAAATTACCTGAAGACCTTTCCCAGGCTGTTTATACTTAATTTTATATTCTGTTCTAACAGTCTTGGTTCTTTCCCATCCACTAAAGTGACAAGTGGAGGACATAGCAGCAGGCAGGAATAGGGCTGCTACAAAAGGCACCAGTAGTAGCCAAGAGCCCAGGGACCTAGGGACAAAACCCTCACATGAACCTGGAGGTCTCTTGGCCATCTCTGTGTTGTGATCGAGTGTAAGAATTGGGATTTTAACAAGAAGCTTTACTTGTAAAAAAAAACAAAACAAAACAGAAAAACGAAAATTAACTGGTACTCAGCTCTGTTTCTAGTTGGCATGATGCTCTGCAGGAGCTCAGAGTCTGTGATGTAGACGCTGAGTGGTTGTCATCGCTAGAAAAATGAGAAGTCGTCCATACTTAGACGCTTGGAATTAGACATGAGGCCTGAACCCTCGCCTCACCTACAAGGCCCCTAGTTACAAAGATGGTAGTTAACTGATTTCACAGGGCTGTGTCTATGTAAAGTTCTAGTTATATGGGACTGGTGACAGGGAACCATCCTGGGGCCTACAGGGCAGGATGGAAGGGGAGGGTCTGGGAGGGGCAGGCTCTTCAGGGCTAGACTTTACCAGGAAGATTAAGTAACTGCTTAAGTGGACAGATAGCAGTCACCACCTTGGAAAAGACTAACATGTGCTGGCCCTGCTTGGCTACGCCTATTGAAATTGATTACTCAGTCCGCAGGGAAGCAGTTATTAAAGGTATCGCGGCGGAGGGGCAACGTGGGGCAGTCTATATTCTTGGCTGGGGAGACTGCAGCCGGTGGTTTGTCGTTGAGGTGAGATGTTACACGAACTTGACTTTGAGATGATGGCAGTAGGACTCGATAGGAAATGGTAGACCTCTGTGTGTGTAGGTGTGTTTATGGGAGTGGGAGCAAAAGAAGCAAGTTTTTCAAGTAAGAATAAATGAAACATTCTTGCAGATATAGAACCCCCAGAATGTTGTTTCCACTAAACCTTCACATCCGGAGATAAATCAACCTGATAAGAGAGCCCTTTCACCCAGCTTTACTTGGAGAAAGATTTTGGGTTTTGCCAGGTGGAAGATATGGGTTGGGCAGAATCATAGTAAAGCTGTTTTTCTCTGCTTTGGTCCTTCTGCAGAAAAGATAGAGGAGATCTACAGAGCTTTCATTAAGGAATCTGGTATCCAGTTCAGCGAGCTGGAAGGGCAGGTGCTCCAGTTCCACCTCAGTAACCTGGAATATGCCTGTGGCAGCAACCTCCACCAGGTGCGCAAGCGTTTGGGAAACATGCTTGGAAAATACTTGCTTTGCCTATGTGCTGCTTGTAGATTTTTTTTTTTGTACTGAGAAGTGAACTCAGGACCTTGTGCTTACCAGGCAAGCGCTTGTGCTGCTGAGCTATATCTCCAGCCCAACTTGTAGATCTAAGTATCGAATTGGTGCTGGCTTGGATAAACAAGCAGGAGTGACTCTGTTGCCCAGAAGTTTGATTACCACAACTTCAGGGCATTATTAATCCCACACTGATTTTTTTGGTTTTAGAGACAAGACCTCAGTACATAATTCAGGCTGGCTTTAAACTCACTACGTAGCCCAGGCTGACCTCAGACTTACATTGATCCTCCTGCCTTAGCCTCCTGAGTGCTGGGATTACAGATGTGTAGCACTATGCCCGGCCCCACACTGGTTTTAACTTATTTGTTTTAAGCCAGAAAAATCCTTCAAGTCCTGTGTGAAGATGCTCCATCTACAAAACCTGAGAGAGTAGGACTGCTGCTGAAACAGGACAGGGCCACGGGCCCCCTCCTGTGACTACCCCCCACACTCTTGGTCCTCTGTAGAGGCCCTGGGGTCATTTCTGTGGAACTGTGGAGCCTGAAAGCACTTTTCTTAGGAAACTAAAATATAGCATCCTTGCAGTTCTAGCCTGATTATCTTGTAGAAAATAAATTTAAACTTGCTGTGTTCATTTAACCACCTGTGAACCTAGCACTCCAACATTCTGTATTTTGAATAGAAACTCCATAGATAATTGAATGTGTTCCCACTAGATTCTGCATTACAATTGGGATTGTACCATTTTGCAAAATCACACTGGGTTTCGCCCTGTATGGGGCTTTCTGTATTTTTTGTTTGTTTGTTTTCTTTCCGGTACTGGGAATTGAACTCATGACCTTGTGCTTGCCAGGCAGGTGCTGTGCCACTGAGCTAAATCCCCAGTCTGTGGGCTTTCTTGCAGAGGAGAGCTAGTGGGTATGTTTACTGCGGAGTTGATTGAAGGCACTGTCAGCCCATAGAATTCTCCTTTGCCAGAGTTGTGAACATACAGAATCAACTTGTGTATTTTAAAATCAATGACTCTTACCCATGCCAAAGTGATGCAGAGCTTTTGTTCTGAGATACACTGTCCTCTGCATCACGGAGAGAGTCTCTTCTGCCCAACAGTGACAGTGAGTCCCTTCCGCCTGGGCTGCTGTGTTTCTCCTCCCCTTCCTTGATCTCTGCTGCAGAATTGGTGGCCCTGCCCTCCTGCTTTGGATGTGTGTTCCGGCCTGGAGCTCCTTTGGTAACCCTCGGGTACAGGCTTGAAGATTTACACTGCCGGTCCCAACACTTCCTGTTGTTTCCCAGGTGTCTGCTCGCTCCTGGGATCACAATGAATTCTTTGCCCAGTTTGCTGGTGACCACACTCTCCTGACTCCCGGGTATTCTGTAATCATTGAGAAATTGGCTGAAGGGCTGGACATTCGGCTCCAGTCTCCGGTGAGAGTTGGCAGGGCTGGGAGGCTATGGCTTTGCCTTGTCTTGAGATATGGATATTTGGGGCATATGATTCTCAGCAGACAGGTTTTGCTCACATGCTCTGGTATTTTCCTGGTATAGTTAGAGCCTGTGGTCCCAGCATTGTCACTGTCAGGTCACAGCTACTGTTTGGAAACCATAGCCCATGTGCATGTTCATTAATAAAATATTTAAGTTGCTCACAGCCTTTCAAACCCAATGCAGCTATTTTCACTTTGAAGTTTTCCCTTCAAATCTTTAGCTCAGTGGCTTGATATTATAGACTGTTGCAATAATAGAGGCGATTGTGTATTTTTAACTTTCTACTGTATCATAAAGTTTTCCCGTATTTTGATATGATGTTTATAAATCTTAATTCCATGAGTTCAGCTGTAAGAGTTGCTTAGATCACTGCATGCGAGGGATTGAGTTCCCGTAGCTTTAGAGATGTAAACTTACCTACTGGAAATTACATAGGACCCTGCGTCAGATGGTTCCAGCCCTCATTTCTTTTGTAATTGTCTGTGTTGGGCAGGTCCAGAGCGTTGATTACACTGGGGATGAAGTGCAGGTCACCACGACAGATGGCACAGGCTATTCTGCACAAAAGGTAAGTGCTGGCCTTCCCTGGGTCACACTCCTTGCTGCCTGCCTGGGGCTGTGGGAAGTCTTTTCCCATGGCATAGTTTCCCTGTGGTGGTCTCCCTGGAGCTTTGTTGGATTTCTGACAGATTAGCTGTGTCCACTTAATTGTGTATAGATGTGCAAATCCGATTGAATTGATCCAACTCCATCTGGATTCATGGCAGGTGGAATTTAATTAATGTTCCTCAGAATGCCTTCTGTGGTATATTGGTCTGAGAGTTAAGCAAAAAAAGAAATTTTTTGGCCAATCTGCTCTATAGTCCCAGCTCTCTGAGAGGCTAAGGCAGGAGGATTACAAATTTAAGCCCAGTCTGAGCAATTTAGGGGTTTAGTGAGACCCTGTCTCAAAATTTTAAAAAAGGGCTGAGTCTGTAGCTTAATGTAAAGGCCCTGGTTTCAAAAATTCCTTAGCCAGCGGCTGGGGATGTGGCTCAGTGGTAGAGCTCTTGCCTTGCATGCAAAAGGCCCTGGTTTGATCCCCAGTACCACAAAAAAAAAGTTTTTTTCCTTAGCCAAATAATATAGCACATTCCTTAGCAATGTGCTATACTCCACTTCAAGGTTAAAAGGAATATATTAAAGGCTCCAAGAAGTCCTGAATTAAAGAAACCTGTTTTCTTTTAAATCTGTGCTTTTTACCATGGAACCTTTTCTACATCAAAACAATAAAAAAGAAAAATTGTGTTTTCATTTTGAAGCTATGCTTTTTTTTAAAGAGGTAAAAAACAAAATAACAACAACAAAGACAAAAACAAAATACAAAAAAATAAAAACAATCCAGAATTTAGCTACACTTTTATGTAATTTAAATACTCTTATGTACCTTTTTGTAGACAGTCTCATGAGGTGTATAGTAGTAAACCCTGTGCTGACATCGCAGGAGATTTCTGTAGCACTGGAGAACAGAGGCACGGCACTGGCTTGGGGTGGAGAGGTCTGATAACCCTCGGAAGCTGTCTCTCCTCCCCAGACTCGCTGCCTTTTGCTCTTCCTGGTCCTTGATACTCTTCCTGCAGTGCAGAATTGCATGTTGCCTGGGAAAGACAGGCCTAGAGGATGAGTTGGGTGGGGAGCATCCTAATATTGTTCTTGCTGCTAGCTGGCCGGGAGACAGGGCCTCATAGCGTTTCTCAGCCCAGGCTGCAGGTTGGAATCCCCTGGGAGGTGCTTGCAGGAAAAGGTGCACAGTGCACCCTGCTAAGATCCTCACTGGGTCTCACTGGTTGTGTTTCTAACTCTTTCCGATTCCACTCGGTGGTGTGGTTGGGTCACGAGGTGCCGTGTCCTTGTCTGTGTGCCTGTCATATCCTAAGGTTCTTCCTAGTACGAAACCTTTCTTAAAGGCCCACCTTTTAAAATTGCAGGTCAGCTGGCAGTCGAGCCTGTTTCTGATCTCAGCAGGGGGAGTACAGGACAGCACCCTGGTTGTGCTTCCTTTTCCTGGTCACCCTCTACTGGCCCACACCCCGCTTATGCCCAGTGCATGTGCCATCTGTCTTTATATTCTAACCTTGCAGAGAAATGAGGGCATAGCTGCAGAATGCACTTCAAAATGTTTAAGACAAAACAAAAATTTTGTTTTGAGGCAGGGTCTCACTGTGCAGTTCAGGCTGGCCTTGAGCTCACTTTGTAGCCCAGGCTGATCTTGAACTCAGAACAGTCCTCCTGCCTCAGCCTCCCGAGTGCTGGAAGTATTTTTATTTTTATGTAGCTAGCACTCAGCAGTATGTATTTGAAGTCTCCCCAAATGTGAGTGGACGCTGTCCAACCTCCAATGATAGGCCTAACCCTGGACAAACTGTAACTCAAACTGGGTGGTTTCCACTGAGGCCTAGCATTCGTTCGCGGCTGGAATGTGTTCATATCATTTACCTCCTTGTTTACTCAACTTTTTGTGCTTTTGGAAGCTTTTTTTGTCACAAAGAAGACAACTAGATTTTTTTTATTTCCTTGCAGTTCTCCTATATCATTCAGATGCTAATTTTTGTTATTTTATGGTGGTGGTTTTGGTCACATGGAGGCTGTTCTCCATGAGCAAATGTCAACTTCTTAAGGATACAGAGCATGTTTTCCACCTTATAAAATTCTTGTGTGGCAGAAAATAGTTACAGAAGTCACAGAAAGGAGGCGCTGCTTTCTGTGATCCTGGAATTAGGGTGACGTCAAACATACGAAATCTTGGGTAAGGGATGAGGTCAATGGGATGCTTGGTTCAGCTCCATTCCACTCTCATCCTGTGGATACTGAAAATGAACACATGTACACACCTGCACACCTGCATGCGCACATGCACACATACACAATGACACACTCTCCCCGGCCTCCTGGCAGCCGAGGCCAGGCCTGGCCAGCCCCCCATCCTTCTTGCCTGCGCCTGGTCGGGTGTGTTTGGGCTTTGCCCGTACTGCCTCTGCTGATAGGCACAGGGTCACTGCACTTGGTTTTTTGGGAGCAGCGACAGACAGGAGGAGTTCCAGGATCCAGCTGTCAGCCACAGGGAGTCAAGAAGAGGGCAGAAGGGGCCTTGTTGGCCGGTAGAGGTGGCTCTTCCTGATGGTAGCTCTTCGATGGCCTGGTTTTATGATGTGGCTTTGAGACTCATTCGTGACTTAAAACTTACTGTTTCCTCAGCCCTTCCAAATCAGGCCTTGTAGAATTACTTTCTCCTTCAAAAAAATGGTGTGGCTTTCTAGGATTATAATCTTCATGTTGCAGTGTGCTTCTATCATTTATGAAGCACAGCATATATCTTAGTTTTAATTTTAAACATTGCTCAGATTCTCCAAGGTTACTAGAGCAGGTCTTTGCTGTGGAGCTTGCCATGTGCTAGTATCAGGAACAATGCAGGGAATTCTCTTAACCCCGTGTTTGGGGCTGTTTCCTTTTACAGCCCTACTTTTCAGGTGTGGCCTTGGCGCGCTCTTCTGATGCAGAATTACTTATTGTTAATCACAGGGCCTTTGTACACATTCCTCCTTGTGGGTGCCGCTGCTCAGCCAGGCACCCTTGAGCAGTGAGCAGCCTGCCTGATTGCTCCGGGCGCCCCTTGTGCTTACAGGGTGACCGCATGGGATGCTGGCAGTCTTGTGACTGGAAATAGAGAGGAATGTTCCTCGGGTGTTGATTTTCCTGGAAGTGAACCCACTGGGTACTTGTGGTTTTCGGTTCAGCTGTTGTGTGTGTGTGTTAACTGTTAATTGCTCCCCACAGGTATTAGTCACTGTTCCACTGGCCATACTACAGAAAGGTGCCATTCAGTTTAATCCACCACTGTCAGAGAAAAAGATGAAAGCTATCAACAGCTTGGGCGCTGGCATCATTGAGAAGGTGACTAGCGAGATTAATGTCAGATGATAGCATTTGTGCCACAGGGAACTACTGGGTCATTTTTGATTTGTGAAGAATAACAAAGGGTGGTACCCAAAACAAAAGGCTGGCTGAAGTCGGAGTTTTGACCTTCTAGAGAATGAATCCTGTTATTCAAAATTAGGATTTGCTGTAAGCAAATCTGGGAGTAATGACACAAGGACACTGTGCTCCCAGGCCAGGTCTCTGCTGGCGTGGCTTCACCATGCTGACCCAGGGGGGTTCGTCAGTGGGTCTGAGGGAGCTGGGGGTGTAAAAAAAGCATGAAGCCAGGCATGGCAGTGCCCATCTGTCATCCCTGCTAATTTAGGTGCGTTGAGGGGAAGCTGAGATAGGACGGTCATTAAGTTCGAACCCAGCCTGGGCAACTTAGCAAGACCCTGTGTCAAAATACATTTTAAAAGGCTTGGTTGTAAGGCGGTGACAGAGCTCTTACCTAGCATGTGCAAGACCCAGGGCTTGATCCCTTCTACTGCAAACGCCCAACATAAGAAACTCACAGAGAGAGAGCCACAGAGATAAGGACAAGATGGGAAAGACAGAAAGATTTTGAATGTATGGATTCTGCAGGTTGCTTTTTAGCTATAGTCTGCAATTTTGAAACAGGAAGTATTTACCGCCCCCCTTCTCTTGCTTGTTTTCCAGATAGCCTTGCAATTTCCTTACAGATTTTGGGACAGTAAAGTTCAAGGGGCTGACTTTTTTGGTCATGTTCCTCCCAGTGCCAGCCAGCGGGGCCTCTTTGCTGTATACTATGACATGGATCCCCAGGTAAAAATCCTCTTCTTAAAAGTGTAGAATTTAGTATTTACTTGTGTCAGGCTCAGGAACAAATGAATATTGTGGAGATTGTGTGTGTGTGTGTGTGTGTGTGTGTGTGTGTGTATACGTACAGGCGTATGTGCTTGTGGGTGGTACTAGGGATTAAACCAGGCCTTGTACATGAGATTTGGCTGAACTATATCTGAGCCATTTTTGTGTGAATTCTTTTTTATTTTTTAATTTTTCATTGGTAACATGTTTGCAGTATATGATTACTGTCATTCTAGGGAGTTGGTACAGATACATAATACTATACATCTTAGTTCTTTGTTCATTAAAGGGATTGACCCATAGTTTTCTTTTTAGTTGGGTCCTTCTCTGGTTTTGGAGCCACTTTGGGAATACTTCTTCCCTTTCAATTTCATTAAAGATTTTGGGGAATATTGGTGTTAGATCTTCCCTGAAGTTCTTGTAGAATTCAGTGGTGAGTCCTGGGCTTTTCTTAGTTGGTAGGTTTTTTGTTACTGCCTCAGTTTCATTGCCTATTATTGGATTGTTTGGAGTTTTTATATCTTCCTGGCTTCGTTTTAATAATTCCTACATGTGTATAGGAATCTATCCATTTTTTCTGGATTCTCCAATTACTGGATTACACACTTTTGAATCAGTTTCTGATAATTTGGATTTTAGTGGTATCTGTTGTAATTTAGCCTTTTTCATTTCTACTTGCATTGATTTTGACATTTTCTTTCCTTTTTTTGGTAAGGTTGATTAAGGTTTTGTCTGTTTTGTTAATATTTTCAAACAATAAGCTGATGCATTGATTCTTCGTATTTTTTTATAGTCTCAATTTCATTAATTTTCACTCTGATATTTACAGTATTCTGCCTTGTCTTAGCTTTGTATTTGGATTGTTTTTTTTCTAGGAACTTAAGGTGCATCATTAGGTTATTTATTTGGGCTTACTCTGTTTTTCTGATATGGACATGGACCAGTATAAACTTTCCTCTTTGGATTGCTTTCATTGTGTCCTACAGGTTCTGATGTGTTGTACTGGCATTACTATTTGATTCTAAGAACTGTATAATTTCTTCCTTGATTCCTTCTGTACCTCATTGGTTATTCGGAGTACGCTGTCTAGTGTCCGTTTGTTTACATAATTTCTGTCATTTTTTCCCCACTGAATTTTGGTTTCATAGTACTGTGATCTGATACTGTGTGCATGGGATAATTTTATTTCTTTGGTATTTATTAAATCCTGTGGTTTGTATGTGATTAGGTCTTGCTGTTTGGTTCAGGCTGGCCTGAAGCTCACTGGGTAGCCCAGGTTGACCTCAAACTCAAGGTGATTCAACTTCTGATATTTCTTTATTGATTTTTTTGTCTAGTTTATCTGTTTATTTGTGATAGTGGGGTATTGAGATCCCCCACTATAATTGTGTTGATTTTTTATGTCTAGTAGTGTTTGTTTTATGAAGTTGGATGCCCCCGTGTTTGGTGCACATATATTTATAATTGTTATCTCTTCCTGTTGGATCGTTCCCTTAACCAGTATGTAGTGACTTTCTTTGGTTCAAATCAGTTTTGGCTTGAAGTCCACTTTGTCTGAAAATACAATAGCTACTCCTTGTTTTGGGGCTCTTATTGTATAGAGTATTGTTTTCCATCCTTTGTTTGTTTTTTTTTTTTTTTTTTTTTTGGTTTTTCTCCGGTACCGGGAACCGAACTCACGACCTTGCGCTTGCCAAGCAGGCGCTTTTGCCGCTGAGCTAAATCCCCAGCCCTGTTTTCCATCCTTTGATTCTTAGTCTATGAATTTAATTTTGGATTGTGTTTTTTATATACTGTATACCATTGGGTTGTTTTTTTAATCTGTCAAGTTTTGTCTTTGATTGAGATATGCACTTTGGAAGTTATTAGTGAAAGGAAATCAACTAATTCCTCTTAATAGACCTTTTCCTCTGTCCTGAGATCTGACCACCTTTGTAATTTGGAGAGGGAGGGTATGGTGTAATTGACCCAGAACCTATTTCTCCAGAAATGAAGTGCAGTAATGTTAGTGACACAAAGACAAAGCAGATACTGGCATACAGTAAAAACTAATTAATAGCAACAACTATGCCACCACTGACAATAGCAAAGAAATCAGCAACAATAATGGAGTCAAAGACAAACTGGATCTTAGCATATACCATAAGAACCAATAAAACTACCACTGAGATTTCTTAACAATAGAAAAGAGGTGTGCAATAATAAATAGACACAGAGACCAATACACCAGTACAGTAAATACCTACTAAATTCAACAGCTCTACCACTATTAACAGTACAAAAGAATTTAACAATAACAGCATAGTCAACTAAATATATAAAGATTAATAAAGATTGATGGTGATACTAATAAAAACTGGAGAGGGTGGGAAGAGGGAAATGAATGAAGTAAAATGTAAAAAATAGATCAGAAAGACAAGAGAAAAGAGAGATAAACAATTGAATTAAGGAGTAAAAGGAAACTAATAGAATTATGTAAAAGTAATAGAAAAGAACAAAGAAGGAAAAAGCACAAAAGAAAGGAAGAGGTGGGGTGAGGAGGGAGTTAAGAAGACGTAAAAAGACTTACAATGTGTTATGTATATGTACTAACTTCTCACAAAGACTGTAATCATTACATACTACAAACATGTACTAATAAATGTAAAAAGTTTTAAAAAGCAAAGATAGAGGAAAAAAATCCCAAAGCCCAAAACAACCAATGAAAGAAAGAAAGGAAGGAAAGAAAAGAATCAAAACACTTCCTCTGTGTTTGAATGAGTGGTTTCTTTCCAGGGTCTGCAGTACTGGAATCTATGCGATATGGGGGGAGTCACTGCTAAGGCCCATTTTGTTTCCACATATATTCTGTGTGAATGCTGAGTCCTGTCCCACCTTTCCTGCAGGGTATAGTTCGTCAGTGGTCTCTGCTCTAGGGCCGCATCCACTATATGCTCCCAGTTTCCTGTCCTTGTGTGTACCACAAGTCACAGCTTGCTCTACCTAACTTTATTGCTTGTGGTTTTATGAGGTGCTCCCCACCCCTCTCTGCTCCAGAGACCCCTCTGTCCATACACCCTAGGCAGTGGCAACTGACTACAACTAGGTGTGTTCTGATCATGTTGGCAGATGGGAAAAGTAAACAGACCACTGAGCTGTACTGGGTGTAGGCATTGGGGGGAAGGGGTTAAACTGTTCACTGGACTTAGTGCAAGGAGTTTCAGACCTTGCCCCCCAAAACCACATGCAACTGCCCTGGCTTCTTACCACAGAGGGTGGGACCGTTGTATCCGTCCACACTGGTCTTAAAACTTTTGAGGGTGGGATGTCTATGTCTAGCCAACACCTTTTCCTCAACTCTCTCTTATGGCTGTCTCCCGTCCAGTCATTGTGGTGGGATGATCCCAGAAACCCTGAAGTGCTGTTGTTTGTGGCTTCTGATTTCTGGAGTATCTGTCTTAATTAATCCCTTCCCAGGATGGCTCCTGATTAAACACTTCCAAATGTGGCAGGCACTGCACTGGATTTCTTTTTCCAACTCTAGCCTATCATAAGAAAGGAGTTTCTTTTAGAGTTAACCCCATGCTGGCTTTTCAGTTTACAGTAACCATGGGCTTTTCTTTGGACTGGTGCTGCTGGCCTGGTCTGTTGTTTCTTCCTGGAGCTGCTGACCCTTTCTGGACATACTTTATGTTTGCGGACACAGATCCCCTTCCCCAAGAACTGGAATTACCATTATAGACTTCTTCATTCTTTTCTCTGGGTTATCTTTGGTTTCTTTAGTTTCTGTGTAGTTTCTAGCTTTCCTGTTGCTTCTTTCTTTTCTTTCTGGGTGTGTTTGAGACAGGATCTCACTAAATAGTTCAGGCTGGCCTTTCATTCACTATGTAGCCCAGGCTGGCCTCAAAGTTAGAGTGATCCTCTTGCCTTAGCCCCCCTACAAGGATGTGCCACCCCATCCAGCTATGTTGCCTCATTCTTGATTCCTGGAGATCTACTTCCTTTTTTCTTCACTGAATTGATTGTTTTTAGATATTCTGATTCCAGGCCCCGTTGAGACTGTATTCTGCTGCAAGTCTTTACCCTTCCATTTTTCATTACGGCAAATCATTGGTGTGTGTTTATTCAGGGAGGACACTTGTGCTGGGACATTTCTCTCTGGAAAAGGAACTCTAATGTTTGCTGTATTTTCTTGAAGCAGGAGTGGTGCTCCTGGGACATGAATTGGCGCCTGTGAAGTGTTATTTCAGGCTGAGAGGGGAATTCCTCTTAGGTACAGTTCGCCATGGTGCCGTAAATGAGTGAATTTGAAACTTCCTCTCTAGCAGTCTTCTCATGAGCTAGAAAGATGGCGTGTGTTTGGTGCAGAGGAGGAAGGGTCATGGTGGGGGCAGGAAGAAGGAGGCACTGCTGAACCTTGGGGGCTGTTGTGACTTCCCTGCAGCTGTGTTGCTGCCACACAAAAGCTAATTCCCACTTTCTCTCCGTTATAAGGAGAGAAGAACCTTTGTTATAAGAAGGCTTCTTCACATGGGGGCCAAGGGCAGAGTTTCTTTGCTGTTTGAGGTTTTTTCCCCTTTACTTTTTCTGCAGATTTCCCTTCTCAGTCTCCATTACTTTTTTTTTTTTTTTAAAGATTTATTGTTATTATTATTTTTTTTTAATTTTAAAGAGTAAGAGAAGGATAGCAATAATGGGGGGACTTACCAAATTACAGACAAAGTGGTAGGAAATTATCAATGGTTATTGTTTTACATATTGTTATCTACAAGATAGTTTCTCAGGAAAACAAATAGACAAATAATAGTGAGTTACAGACATAAGAGGTAGCAGATTATCAGTAGTTGTACTCTACTTAGGAATCTTCGAAAGAAAATAAATAGAACTATACATGAGTGACCTATTGAATAATCATTAACTATTCTCAATGGTTGTTGTAGGAAACACATAATAATAAACATGCATCCATTTATGAAATAGGATAGGAACAATACAAACATTACAGAGTTATGGATAGATTAGTAGGAAAATATCAGTGGCTGCTGTAACACATGGTGGTATCTTAGAAGTGGTTTCTCAGGAAGACAGAGATACACAAGAAGGATCTAACAAGTAGTTACAGCCTAAGGGTTGTCAAAAATCAAGTGAGCCGTCTGGGGCCAAAGCCATTTTTTGTAGCGTTTTCTCTCCAGCCTCCCATCGCATTGGGACCCCACAACCAGTTAGTGTCCTCTCCCCAACTGTCAGCACAGGCAGCAGGAATCCTGTTGCAGGAAATCTCCAGGGCTCCACCACAGCCTGTACTGTCAGGGGAAGAATGGCTTCCAGGGAGTCTCTGCATGTATTGTGCAAGGTCCTCCTGGTTTACAGCTTCTGAGCGGCTCTCACGACCCCAGTCCACAGGACCCTCGGGCTTAGTCTGCATTCTCATGTTCTCCAAGTCCTTGTTCAGCAGCTGCTCCTCCACTGACTCTAGACCTTTCTGGTTCTCAATGGCAGGAGCAAGAGTGGCCCGTTGTATAGCATGTATTCCCAGGGGTTTTTCCATGTTTGAATGATTCACACACGTCCATGGGTGGGCATCTGCAGCCAGTGCATGGTGGGCCAATTGTGTCATTATTTTTCTGTGTCATGATAGTTCTCAATTGAGCAGCGGCGGCCGGCCTGAAGGCCTGCGTGCCACAGCGCTCTCAGCCGCATGGCTCCCCGTACGCCGGGGGGCCTACAAGGCAGGAAGTGAGCCAGCCGGAAGACGGGCGCTCCCTGCCCGTGGCTCCCCATGTGCCAGGGGCCCTCCCTCCGGGGGCCTACGAGGCAGGGAGCAGGCTGCCGGGCAGAAGACTAGCACTCCCCGCCTGTGGCTCCCTGTGCGCTGGGGGCCCTCCCTCTGGGGGCCCACAAGGCAGGGAGCGAGCTGCCAGTCAGAAGACCGGCGCTCCCCCAGTCTCCATTACTTTTGAAATAAGGCTTCATATGTGAACAGCCCAGGGACCCTGCGCCTGATGTTACTACTTCCTGAGTGGTGGTGGTGGTGGTGGTGGTGATGGTGGTGGTGGTTTTCCCTGGCAGAGACGGTAGAGTAGGTAGATGAATAAAGTGTGTATGTGAGGGTAAGGGGTGACTGATGGGACTACTGTAATGAATTCAGTTTGTGAGAACAGGAACTTTGTTTGGAGCTGAGCATTTAGAGATTTTGTACCAAAAGCAAAAATGAACTGCTTTTCTTTGTGCCTCCAGAAGCAGCAGAGCGTGTTGATGTCGGTGATCACCGGGGAGGCAGTGGCATCAGTTCGGACACTGGATGACAAGCAGGTGCTGCAGCAGTGCATGGCCACTCTGCGGGAGCTATTCAAGGAGCAGGTCAGTGAGGCCCCTTGGAAGGAGGCCATGTTCAGCAAGCTCTTCCGAGTGGGAGGGAGGCAGAGCCACCGCATTGCCCATGTGGAGGGCTGTCAGGGCTGTAGGCTCTGTTATTCTGTATTTCTCTGTTATTCTTCCCAGGATTCCCCTTTACTTTTTCTGCAGATTTCTCTTCTGTATTTACCAAGCACTAGCTTTGACTGCAGCTTCCTTTTAAAGGACATTGTTGGGAATTTTCTGTACCTCACATAAGCAGTCTTTTTTCTCCAAGGAGCTCAGGGTACTTTATATTTACAAATTTTCTAAATCTCACAATCCATGGAGATTTGTAAATGGTTATACTTTGTGCCTTTTTCAAATTAAGGAACAGAAAGAGAAGTAAAATTACTTAAAAATTGTGTATATTCAAGAAAGAGAGGGACATCCACTTATGTGGCCAGTTTTATGGAAGCAGGTGTAAAATGATGTGATTCTGTCACATAGTAGTTCCTGTCTTGGGGCTTTATCCTCAGAAGTGTGCTCTTAAATCAGTTATCTGGAATGTAGCACAGTGTCTAGAGGAGTATTTTCCATATTTGATGCTTGTCAGAGGATAGCAGCAACATTCTGTTTAATGAATGTAAAATACATCCTTGTTTCATGGATTTGTGGAGAAGCCTGTTGGGAATTTCAGCCGGTGATCACAGGTGATCACAGGACTCGGCTGTCCCTTTCCTCCCCTGGGCTAGGTGCCAGGGAAGGGAAGGCAAGGACTGAAGTCAGCCATTGGTGATGGTCTCAGAAGCTGGACAGACTATGTCTGAGGGATGAGGGTGAAGTGAGTGTGCAGTTTGGGACAGAGGAAGAATTTACAGGTGGGGGATGAACATACGTGAGAACTGGCATTTTGGGGTGCAACCACAATTAACCCAGGTCCTCAGGGAGGCAGGAATGTAATTTCTAATTTGCGTTGCACCATATCTGAGTTCCTTATTGATCCTCTTTTATAATTGCTTCTACTGGACACAGGAAGTCCCAGATCCCACAAAGTATTTTGTCACTCGATGGAGCACAGAACCGTGGATCCAGATGGCATACAGTTTTGTGAAGACCTTTGGGAGCGGAGAGGCCTATGATATCATTGCTGAAGAAATACAAGGAACTGTCTTTTTTGCTGGCGAGGTTTGTATCTTGATTTCAAACCCAGTTACTCATATTTTGATTTTTCTTTCTGCCCTGAGTTTAAAAACCAAATTAGATACTCTTAAGTCTTATGACAAATAGTAGACGCCTTCTCAACAGTGGGAGCTGACCTCATATTCTCAGAGGCTGCCGTTTTAACTGTTCCAGCCATTTCTTACAGACTTCCCTTCATATTCTAGAATTGTATTTCCATCATGTTATTTAACAGTAGGCAGAATTATCCAGACTTCCTGTAAGATTAAAAGCTTCGTTCAGTTAGTCTCGGTACCATTCTCTTAAATTATTTCAGTTAATTAGATTGGTATCTGTTCTGTCACGTGGCCCTGTAAATGTTTATTACTGCACCAAGGTGTTCATAGGTTCCCCAATGTTGGTGCCTCAACCATGTTCTTGAATTGTAATCTCATGAGTGGTTGCAGCAAGTATACTCAGAATCTGGTGAGAGACCCAACTGTTCTTCCTGTAGTCTTTAAAACCAGTTCTGGGGCTGGGGATACAGCTCAGCGGCACAGAGCCTCCCTGGTAAGCGCAAGGTCCTGAGTTCAGCTCCTGGTACCAAAAAATAAATAAGTAAATAAGATCAGTTCTGTTTTGACCCCATGCTATCCAGGGTTCCCAGTGCTGCTCTTGGATGACTGTAAGGATTGTTTGTAGACTTGGTTTGCTTTTTATTATTACCTCTTTCCTCCCACCCCAAACATGAACTGTTAAACACTTTCATCTGCAGTCATACATTGTATGTTTGAGATTACAGGTCTCATAGTTGTAGCTAGTTAAGTGTTAATGTTTTGTCTTGCCAGTGATTTTTTGAGTGGTAACACGGTGCCATCTTAAAGTTAGATGAATGACTACTCCTGGGCCTCCCAACAGTGAACTTGGCAGGTACCTAATAGCTGCATACCAGGCACAACTGTCAGGCACTTCCAGGGGACTGTTTCAGACTGAGCTGAGCTGTCTTAGGGACAAGTGATTTAGAACCTTTCTTGCTTTCTTTTGCTGTATTACCTCACTTTCTGCAAGCCCATTTCTCTTCCCTATTATTCATTGTTCTTAACTAAGTACATGGCACAGATACTTGGTAGTTTAATGAATGCCGCACAGGACTTTGCAGAAGTTGAATGTTACAGAATCAATGACTTTGGCAAAGCCCGGCAAAATAACCAGAGTAGTTCAAGTGCAATGATGGGTGTGCAGTGTCACCATGAGGTTGGAGCAGCAGCACTAGTCTTTATTTTAGGAAGACTAGAGTGTAAATATTACCTTTTGATGTCATAGATTTTTTTATTAGATGATCTCAAATTATGCAATTTTTTGTTCTTACAGGCAACAAACAGGCATTTCCCACAAACTGTTACAGGGGCTTATTTGAGTGGTGTTCGAGAAGCAAGCAAGATTGCAGCCTTTTGAATAGAACTGTCTGGATCCAGCTTTGTCCTGTACCCCAAATGGGAAAGTCTGAAACACAGGTTAAACCTCAGTTTGTGTGTGTGGGTCTGTGTGTGCGCCTGCTCTGGATAGCAGATCTAAAATGGTTACAGTGTTCTGAAAATGTAAACCCATTTCACCACTCTGAAAGCACTGCCCCCAAAGTCCTTATGAGCACTTATATTTATTTGCATTTTCCATAGGGCCAGCTAGTGCTGAAGCCCTCTGGATTTCAGGATGAGGCAGAATATAACCTTAAGTTGAAACCTGGGTTAGAGTGTTCCATGGCCAGAGGTTCCCTTGAGACTTGTTATTGTGTTGTACTGATGAATTTTCATACATTACAGAACTATACATTACAAGTAAATCAAGCAGGAATCATTAACAAACTAGATAAAGCCATGTGTTCTGTGAAAACTTATCAGTATCTTTACCAATGAGCCTTAATATTTTTATATAGCTCCAGTGTTAAACCTGTACTTACAATTTAGATAGAACTTTTTTTTGATACACCACGAACTCTCTGAAGGCAAAATGAAGTTTCTAGAAGACTTTTATATTCTACATATTTTTTCCCATTGGGTATTTAAAAAGAAACTAAATTCAGGTATTTGTTGTAATGTCTTGTATTTGTGCACTCTGGCAAAACAGCAAAAACCTCAATCCTTAAATGGTATAGGGATCATGTAATTGAGACCAGGTTGCTGAATGTGGTCTATGCTTTAAGCATAAAATACAGCTGTTTTTCTTAAAGCCAAATTTGAGTGGGCAGCAAATTTTTAGTATCTTAAATTTTGGCAGCCACTAGCAAAGATCTTGTCAGAATAAAAACCTCATTTTTTAAAACTGACTCAATCTCTGGGAATATTTTTTGCATAATTATATTTAGTTTTCCATAGGCAGGTCCACTGGAAAACTGTACAAAAATGTGAGTTATCTTGGTAAATATATTTTATAGGCTGTATCTTATGAGCCTGACATGGCCAGATCTGCTTTTTCATTTTTGACAAAAAAAATTGTTCAATAAGCATTGGTTTCAGGGTCTTCAGGATGCCTATTTGGCCAAGAAACTTCAATTTATAGGTTAGAAATGTGCTTTTGTTTTAAAAAGTCTTTGAACAACTCTTTGAATTGTATTGGTCTGTTTTAATGAAGGGGCTAAAAATGACTTTAAAGCCACTTTTCAAAATATTTGGTATTTTTGAGATTTAAAATAAATCAGCTTGTAAGTAAATAATCTTATGCAAAGAATGTACAGTGAACTTTATAGTTTAGACACTTCTCCATCAAAGTATGATACAAAAGAAAGCCAATAGCTGTATATTTCAAAGTGAAGATAGGGAAATGGTGATATTTAGGCTGAGACTCATTGGTACTGATTAGGATGTATTCTGCTTAAAAGTGTTATGTCATAAGATGTTTAATAGCATGTGCTAAGGGATAAATGCAAAATATGTTGTTTGACATGGTTCTTCATGGGCACTTAAACTTGTACTGTGCTACCGACAAGCAGAGAAAAACCTACTTCAAGTATAGTACATGTATTTAAAAACTTGTTTCTGATTTTTCAAGTGACATACTTCATTTGACATTTTAAGGAACAATGGTACTTTTGAGTTTCTGAGTTGTTTTCAATGTTATCTGAAGATTTTGTAATTGAGCAGCAGTGAATACAAACGTTTATGTGACTTCACTTCAGATCATGAGTAGCTGGTTGTGCAAAACTGCTTAATAAAAACTAGATCTGTTTTTCAGATATCGTTTGTGTACTGCAGTAATGAACACTGAGTACTTATTAAACGGGTATGTGATCATCAAGAACTTTTATACACACACACTCTGTTCCCTTACCTCTAAAGCCTCTTCATACATTTAGGTCATAGGCATTTAGTCCTTATCCCCTATATAGTAAATACTGAAAAGTGTTAACTTTGATCTGAACCAAATCACTTCGGCAGTGGTCAGTTACCAGTAAGAAGAAGAGCACTCTAAATCATTCAGGTTATGGGGTTAACTCCATTTAAAAATCCTGACTCTAGGGGTAAATGAAACTTAAACCTAGGATGAGTTAAAACAGCAAATGCAAGAGATTTAAAACACCAATGATTTTCTTTTTATTGACAAGGTTTACAGGAACAAATTAAGTATTTAAAATCAAAGGCCAAATTTTAGGTCTCAGTTGCTTATCCCATTCATTTCTATTCAGTGTACGCTTCCCTAATGTCCTAACTTTGTCAAGGAACAAGTCAAATCTGTGAAAATACCTTTTAACATTCAACATGTATCATTCTTACGTATTTCTGTTCTGTGATACAAAGATTTTAAAACACTCAATTGGTACCTCAAATACCTAATTCTGTCATAGCAGCATGTTTCATTTTAAAATTCAGAGAAAGGTTATTTAGTAAACTAATTAAGACAGTCAACTTAAAAGACACAGTCTTTTAAATTCAGGAGTGGTCCATATATTGATCACGTGGAATCCTGATTGGCCAAAATGTAAAACTCAACGAACACCGTAAATCTCTTTAGTGATAAAAATAAGTACAGTATACTACCACTTTTGAGAAATACTCTGTCAGAGATTCTGCCACAGCCTACACATTTCTCTTCTCTTCTACCTAGTACTTTTATCGTAATTATGAAGGTGGCCAGGTTTCCTGTAAATATCAGCATATGGTCAAAAGCAGTTAATAAAAATGTCACTTAATGTAGGCCAAATGTACTTAAATCTTAACTCTTTCCCGAAGTTTTTGAAGCTTTGATGTGTTAATTTTAGTCTGTCCTTAATATGAAACATTACCTCTGCTTTTGTAGTTAACACTAAAACTATAATTGATGACACTTGGAAGGCAAAGCAGAACTAGACAGTTCCTGCAATATCACCGAATTCCGACTCCCACTGCTCCGTTGCACTCTGGCTAACACTGACACTTCATAGTTTGTAAGTGTGAAGTTCCTACCTACATGAGTTTAAAAATTGATCTGCACAAAAGAAATAAAAAAACTTTATATACAACAAATTGTTTTTTAAAAATACAAAAATAACATCTGTCACTTCTGTCATGCTGACAACCTGGCATATATACACATGCAGAAGAAGTTCCAATTAGTTATCCAGACAGCTTGTGTAATTTAGTATGATGAACACAATGCCACTGAGTTCACTGACAGAAGAGATGTATATTCAAAATATTTCATATACTAAATACTGCAATCGTTTCTGCAGGTATAAATGCCACTTATAGTATTTTTTGTCCTACTTGATTAAAAGTATGTCTTAAGCAAGCTAATATTAAGTGCACTAAAACCCATAATTGAAGAATCTATAGCCTTATATAAAGAAATTCAAAATGTACAAAATACAGCTATAAAAGCAAGTAACAATTACTGCCATGCAACATTTTAAACTAAAAACAGTGTAGAAATGCAGTTTAAAATGACAAACTCAAATTTACATTAACACCCAAGATAAAAAGGCCAGCAGTAAGTTCTACCAAGACAAGAATTTAGAAAAGGAAATACATTCTCTTTGCTGGTATAATGTATACATCAGATCTTCCAATCTAAAGGAACAAGTCCTTTGTCTTCTTTCTCAAGAAATCAGCTGTAATGAAAGAGAAACATTTTTACCATACCTAACAGATAATTAAGCATATAGAAATCATAAATCATATTCCAATTTTCACATCAGTTTTATGACTGTAACTGTAGGCAGTCATTGGGAGCCACATAGAATTAGCTACTAAATATGGATCTTCCCTTGCTTTAGGCGGGGGGCTAGAACTTGCTCTCAAGCTGTTGAGCAACTCTGAGATATATACCTCCCATGTACATAGTGATTCATGTCTTAGACTGAGTTAGTTATTCTGTCATTAGCTATTCAAACTATTAATGTCTCCCCACCTATTTTGAAGAAATTTAAGGATCAAATATGACTTACACACATGAATACTTTGAAAAATATGCAATATTTGATACACATAATTTCTGTAGTCTTGTATCCAAAATGATCAAAGCAGGAAAAGACTGAAAGTTACCTCTTTTACAGTTGTTTTTATGAAATCTTTTCTCTCAGTTAAATCATAAGCAGGATAATTTTCATATACCTATAATGAAAAGGGCAAATAAAGCAGATTTTTAAATCCAATAATATTCTATCTGAATAAAAAAATTTATGCTGTACAGAGAGCTGTATGCATATTCTAAAAATACTCTGGTTCACCATATAGAACTGTATTGCAAATGAGTAGCTTTAATACCATATATGAAGCAGAAGAAAATTAACATGCAAATGTCTCAGTGCTTCACAAACTGGGAATATGAACTGGATTAATAAAGAGGTGAATAGATCACAATTAAGTGGACTAAGCTCTCAGTATCAGTAGGTTATCTGTGAAGTATCTTTTAGAGATACCTACTTAGTTACTTCTCTGTATCATCATCATTCTACTTATGATCCCACAATTTGAATTCTGGCCTCTACTCCACACTACTCTATCCTTTTGTCAATTAAATCAGTAAGACGTAAGTGGTCTCTGCAGTCCTTACTCCTAAAATTTTACTCTAAAATTCCCCTTTCTTTTGTCAACCTTGTAACTCTCTCAATCCCACTGTAGCTGGTACAGTAAGTTCCTGACTTCCTAACATTCGAGTTGTAAACTTTCACAAGTATACTGTGTAAGACTCACTTTGTCAGATAGGAATAAATCCCATTTATGAACATTCTCCTGGATTAAGACTTGCTGTACTAAATCCCAATTGTATACGATCATAGCCTATATCAGGCTAGCAAGCTTTTGTACAAGGCCATGTGGTAAATAGTTGGAGTTTTGCACAGTCATGGTTTCTGTTAAAACTACTTAACTATGCTGCTGTAGTGCAAAGAGCTGCAACAGACAAGCTTCAACTGGTGTGGCTGTATTACGATGAAACCTTATTCACAAAACCAGGTGGTAGGATGGACTGGCCCAGACTACAGTTGGCCGCCCTCACAGAGAGTCCATCGTTTAAATTACTCTGGTTGTTTGCCCCTTGTTCTTCCCCCATGAAACCCCAGCCATGAATTATTCTAAATACTAATTTTCCATCAGTAAGACAGAGGCTGATGATGGCAAACCTTTCAGAGACCAACTGCCAAACTGCAGCCCTAAACCCACTTACGTATCACAAAGTGTGCCAACACTGAAATTAAACCTCAATACTGAGGCTTTAGTACAACTCAACATAAACATCTTTCGTCTTAAAAGAGAAACAGTAACGCGTGTAACAGGTTTACCACCACTGCAATAGGCCATAGGCTGCTGTGGGAAAATTTAACTTTGAAAAGCTGTGAAAAGACTGGTCCTGTTTTTAATCCATGGACTTCAAAGTCTCCCAGCAACTCTTAGTCTCTGATCATACTCTCCTTTCACTCTGGCCACTCGCAGTTTCAGCTCCACATTCAAATGCCCCCCAGCCCTGCTTTCACTCAAGAAGGCATTATTCTGAAGTTTCTGCTGTACCTCTTTCCCCTCTCATTCTGCCTGCATCCATCAACAGTTCATGAAGACCCACCCCTCAATTCCCCTGTAGGTCCTACTACTTGCTCTTTGGCATAACACATACCAGCTCTCCCCTGGCCCTTTCAAAAGTATTTTCTCTTCAAATTCATGCTGCTTAAAACAACATTTAATTGATTCATGTGCCTCATTATTCACTAACTCATTTGAGAAAACTGTTATCACCCTTAGCACTGTCATTACACAATCACTTCATTACTTAAGCCACCTTTAAAAAAATTACATATATGTATTTGCAGAAATCCTCTAAGTGGAAAAAAATTAATCCCCCTTCTTCACTGTCCCCACCCCTCTCTCCCGTCAGAGGGGGTCAGTGATCAGTTTGGTGTGTTATCTTCCAGACTTTGAAAAAAAGCCACACACATACATGTATAAATGGCAATGGTTTTTCTTCTATAATATCCTGTTTTAGGAAATTAATACCAAGAAGGTTTTTCCGTGTTCTTTTAAATTGCTACAAGGTACAGTATTCCAAAAATTATGGGAATACCACAGTAAACCATCTATTTCTCTATTAATGGCCATTTAAGGTTAATTTATTTCTGGTTTTTCAGTATTAGACATGCTGAATATATTAGAATCATTTACACCGGTGGCTGTCTTTAGGTTGGAGACCAAAAAACTGAACCACTAGTTTAAAAGGGTATTTGCAATTTAAAGATCCTACTTAAGTATCCTCCAAAGAAGCTATTATGACTTACAGCATGACAGCCTGTCCCCGTACACTGTTCATGAATTTCAATTTTTATTGTAGTCTTTTTCAAAAATGTTTAATTTCTGTCTCTTAGATTAGTTAGACAAGGCTGAGTGTATTTTACGTTTTAAGTGTCATCTTTTTCTAAGCATTTCTTTTCTGTATCTGCTGCCTACAGGTGCTATCCCGTTTTTTGAGACCATCTTCTCTTGGCTTTCATAGCACCACTCCCTCTGGCCTTGCCTCTCCTGACTATAATTTCTTATATTTGTAGAAGTTTCTTCTTACCTCTTAGTACTAGTCTTCAGGATTGTTTTTGTGTATTTCATACTTTCTCTGCCTGCCTGGGTCACTTATCTATATTCCTGGTCTAATTCCCAGCAACATTCTGGTTTAAGATTTCTCTCTAAATTAGAGAATCACAATGTTCACACTTTACTTCATCCTTCACTTGATTATTTTAAAAAGTCCAAAAGTCATGTTTTCTTCTAAAATTCTCTATTATCTATTATTTTCTATTAGACTATTATTTTCTATTAGACTATTATTTATAGACTATTATTTTCTCTATTATCATTTATTTCATCCAAACTCTACTGTCACAATCACAATAAAGCAATACTTGATCAGGATCTCCTACTATGACTTGGATTATGGCACCTTTTGCCTTATTCCTTCCATGGTACCATGGATCAAATCCAAGGGCCTCGCACATGCAAGGCAAGCAAGTCTGCCCAAGCCCAACCCTGTTTCTTAAAGTATGACATAAAGTGTGTTTCCTGTCTGTCTCATCCTTTGCTTGATCCTTCTTGATATTATGAGAACTTTAAAAACTAAAAATGATGGTATTATACCGCTGCCTGATATCTCACAGCCTCCCCAGTCCCCACTAGTTTCAAGAAGAAAACCAAACTCAGCAACAAAACATACCTAAGTTCCACAAAACTAGTATTCTCTTCTGTGAAGATTCCTAGTCGTAAGATTATATTAAACTCAGTATTTAAGTGACTACGTCACTATTCCTCAACTGTATGGAAAAGCGGATACTGTACTCACTATTAAGAACTCAGCTAATAGCTCTTCCAGAAGCTTCTCCAGACTCCTGAAAGTCCACCCCCCATCCCAAGTAGGTACGTTCTGTGGTGCTGCAGCTCCTTCCATGCTGTACTCACAGCCCTCACTGGAGTATGTGGCTCTTTCATGCTCACTGGATCTTAAGCCCTCTTTAAAGCCAAGTGATAAGTTTCTCTGCACAATCTGTAATATCTAGCCCTGTCCCTGACATGCAGTGGAAGTTCAATCAATAAACAATAATCTATCATCTTAAAAAAATGTAGAGTGTTTTTTACCTTTAGTACACTTCAAAATTTAACTTTATTCTGCCATAAGAAACTAAATATTTAAATCTCTGAATTTGGGATCTAGAGTAAAATCACTCAAGACTAGAACATTTAATTTCCTGAGAAGTTTTAGGAGAACTTTAAAGAAACTTGAATAAGAACTTAATCTAGATATAATTCAGTGGCACAGCGCCTGCCTCGCAAGCATGAGGTCCTGAGTTCAATTCTCAGTACCAAAAAAACCCCCACAAACTTAAATCTACAATTTACCATAATAATAATAAGGCAGTCCATGAGATTATATAAGATAACTCCATTTAGGACAGACTTTTAGACTATTTTATGAGTATTTAATATGGTATCCCAGTACTTGTAAGACTACCTGGTAGATAGGAGTTTAACAAATGTTCAGTGATGAATGCACAAAAAAGATGTAGTTTCAAATTCAGGAACGGGCAAAAGAAGTATTCAAGTCAAAACACAATGATCTAAACTTGGGGCTGGGGATTTAGCTCAGCGGCACAGCGCCTGCCCGGCAAGCGCAAGGTTGTGAGTTCAATTCCCAGTAAGGGGAGGCGGAGGCAAAACAAAACTGATCTAAACTTTATGCAGTTACCTCTTTGCAAATCTGCTTCATTGTGACTTCCTCCAAATTAGCATTGGCCAATAATTTCTTCACTGTTTCCTTTAACTCTTCATCTGTAGGTGGTTTCTTCAGTTTTTTAATTAAAGGCTCATCATCTGAACTATCCTCAGATTCACTTTCTAAAAGATTTTAAAATTTTAGTTTAATTGTAGTTGATAAATATGCACTGAAAATTTCATGTCAGTTTTGAAAAATCCTTAAAACTGGCATACTACCTTTTCCCAGTGTTCTGTGCAGTTTTCCTGTTGTCTTTACACATTTAATTACTATTCACTACATACATGTTTTAATATTTTAAAATCTGCTGATAATGTAATTTTTTACGCACCTTTTTTGGAACTGTTCTGATTCTTCTTTGTGGTGCTGCTATCTGCCTTCTTAACATTAGCACTTTTTACAGACTTTTTACTTTTAGAAGTAGCTTTCTGTTTAGTTTTTTCTTTTTTAGATGTCTTTTTTGGTGGCTGCTGGAAAGGAAAGCATATTACATACATTGATGAGATTGACTGCAACCCTTCTTTTCCCTGATGCCTTTCAAAACTGGAGAAAATGAACATTAGATTATCAAAAATTAAATATGATTACTAATTATTTGTGAGAAATGACTAATACACTTAACATAATTTTATTCTATCATAAGTCTAACCATGTCAGGAAACAATTACAAAAATAAAATAGATGCCACATTTGTTCTGTTGTATAGCTAGAAAGCTTTGAATGTACTACTTCATTTAATCTCAGGGAGAAAAAAATTCCTAAAATATAAATGCTATTATCCATTATCTTTCTCCCCCAACTAGAATCTAAATTCCATGAAGACAGGTTTTTTCCCTTCTTGTGTTCACTAATGTACCCCTCACTCCTAAAATGCTGCCTGGTACTCAGAAGTTGTGCAGTAAATATTTATGACTATATGAGGACACTAAGCTCAGTGAGGTTATCTTGTCCACAGTCACATTTATAATAAAGAGCCAATATTCACATATAGATTGAGCCCCAGAACATGTGTTTCTAACCACTAACCCACACCTATTGAAGAAACGCGAACTGCATACGTGTGGACAGACTAAAATGACAAAATTACAATTTACATGCTAGGTCTTAAAAATAGCAAGTACTAATTCTTCACCTAACATTTCCAAAGGCAAAAGCATTCTACACAAACAAATGCCCTAAGATAAATATTGTGTTGAACTTGTCCTTTGAAGTACACAGTCCAATTTGTTCTAAAAGTTAAGTGGTTTTTCTATTATTTCTAGGTGCATTTCACTGGATTTGTTAAAGTGCTATCATTGTATATATCTAGATAAGCCTAGTATCACTGCATTATTTTGATAATTGTACTGTTGCCAGGGAACTAGCTAACCTGTCTAGTTTGCCTGCTACTACAAAATACATTTAAGAGGTGGCAAAGGGCTGACATGCTTCTAAAAGTAAAGGATGTGCACTTTACTGTGGATGTTTTAATTCGGAGGGGTTTTTTTTTAGCCTATTTGATAATTCTGAGATGTTCCAGACCGTTGGACCATAGGAAAAGCATCACTGGTTTATCAGTTTTCGACGACTAACTTGAACTAAGTTGTAAGTTTATTAGATGTCCACTAGTTCACACAAACTACCTTAGGCTCTGAAAAGGAATATTAAGACGTTCATAAATTCAACTGACCAACTTAATACACAGAATAATCACAATATGTAGATACAAGAAACTAAGTTATTCCTCAAAGGACTGGAAAGGGTGACTGCTTCTAGCTCTTATACTATGCCATCAGTCTGACTGCTCCACACTCCACAGGGCTTGGACTATAGTTCATTAAATCCCTACTTTGTGGAAGGTATAGTAAAACAGTGAGTAACAATGTAGGCTTAATGGTGAGAGCTGGTTATAATCCTGACTCTACCACTAATTTTGCCTTCCCAGCAAATAAATCACTCCTCTCTATGCTTTTGTACTTATCTGCAAATGGGAAGGTACTAATGGTACCACTTCGCTCATTTTAACATGTGCCCATCACTTTCATCTCTTTAACATGCAGAGGACTTTTCAGTGTACATAAAAATGCCTTTTAGGCATCATAGGATCAGTTGACTATGGCTACAACTATGGAGGTGAAGTAATGATAAAAACGTTAATACACATAAGGCAGAAAAGCAAGTGTACAGATAACAGGCATGTATATAAAACCGGTTATTTATGAACTACACTGCAGGCTTAATGGCAGATCTGATCACCTGCACCAGAACAGACCTATTACCTTTTTTTTAGCTCTGTCAGTTCCCAGGCAACTAGAAGAGTGGTTTACAGTGGCCATTTAAATATTTCTTATGTTCATCTCTGTATCATTTGTAAGACTCGTTTACTTATACTCTCAGCCCTGAAGTTATGAAAGTGTGATTAAAAGGCAAAAGAACTTCTATAACACTTCTTTAATACACTATCTTATGATATAAAAAGCCCCACAAAATATATGCAGAAAAAGCAAAAACCATATAAAGCATTCAAAAGGATAATTCCTCACTATATAAAGTTACAAAGTTTATGTTAATAATCTTTTTAGTTTTAATAAGCAATGGACATATACTAGTTAACTTTAAAGTTATTATTTAAAATCAGATCTAAATCCCTAGTACCATAGGTCTCTAAAGGCACAAGTATATGAACTATAACTTCTGGTCAGTTTTAGACAGAGAGAGCACTTAAAAAGATCATTACATGCTGGCCATGATGGCACACACTCAGAATCCTAGCACTCTGGAGGCTGAGGCAAGGGAATTTGTGAACTTAAGGCCTGCATGGACTACACAGCAAGACTTTGTCTCAAAAAACCAAAATGATCATTTATATTCAGCATAGCCTCAAATACAAAAGTGAGGCGTTGTATCTTTCATCTCTCAAAAATCAAGAACATCAGGAATAAATGAGATGTAAGGTAAGAAAGTATATGATACATGGAAGACTCTCAACAGCTGCCTCCATGTCTGTTCCAATAAATGCTTATTGAAGGAATTCTCCCTCCTGAGCTGACAGTTCAGGTACACAGCTCCTGGTACACAGAGGACATGACTTATTTTTTTTTCCCTTCCTCATAAAAATGTCAGGTATAGATAGAAAACTGTTTCCACACAGCGAGAATACTAACTGCATCCCTAAAGTCTGTACTAGTCAGTCACACAATGCCCAGCCTCCCGGGTTCGCAAAAGTCTGACTATAACTCCATTAATCTAGCTCCATCTCTCAGTGCTCTACTTCTGTAACACCCAAGTCTATTTATAAACAAGTGTGTCTGTTTAAAGCAACTCTGCCTTCCCTGCTTCCCATCATGGTACACAAATCTAACTTTCCCCTCTATTCCCAAGGTCAAGCTGAATTGGTACTTCTTCTATTTCTCCTTTAAGCCCTCTCTCAAAAGCTATATTCTTTGAAGAATTAAGTATTAAATGGTATTTTGGGGAAAAAATCTTCTGCAGCCCCAACAGAACTTAGCATTCTGCCAACATATTAAACAGAACAATTAAAAAGTGGTTACAAGCTGGGTGTAGTGGCAGACACCTGTAATCCCAGCATGTGAGTGGCTGAGGCAGGAGGATCACCATGAGCTTGAGGCCAGCCTGAACTACAAAGGGAGACCCTGTCTCAAAAAAAAAAAGAAAAGTGGTTACATTAAGAAATCAAGTACTGGCACCTTGTTTTATGTCTTTTTAATATTCAAAAATATTAGTAATTATATTAAAAATGTGCTATCACAAAGGAAAAATGTTGAAGGTAACTCAGAGTCAAGACTGAGTCATTAACAACATACACGAGGAAAAGATTAGGTAACAAGAGTGGGGAGGAAAACAATAAAGAAAAAGCCAGTTTCCAAATCAGAGGATTTCTAAAGATTTTGCTTTGCTATTTCTAAATACACTGCAAGTGGTTCAAGCAGGACCATCAACTATTTTAGGTATTTTTGCTGTGCTAAAAGGGAACAGATTTCTGATAGTACTATAATTTAAATTTTTAAAAGCTTAGTAATATAAATTTTCAAAAATTGGAAAAGCATTTTCCATGTCTGATTATAGAATCAGAGAAATGACACAAGCACTTTTTGAAGGAAGGCCAAAATTAAAAAAAAAAAAAATCTTGGGAGATTATGGCTTACCTATCTTTTATAGGCAGCTGGGCTCTTGAAGGAGGGTCGCCAAAAAAGACGCCTGTCACAGAGCCAGAATTCTGTCCTCACAGCAGAAAGGTTGTACTGGGTGAACAGATGAACAAAATAAAAATTAGCTTAAAACACTTTCTTTTAACAACTTGGCTGAGAAAACTAAATATGCCAAGAGAAAAGAATGTGCAAATGTAGATATAGTTCACAAAAGACTATGAAATCAAGTTTAAGTATAAATGGACTTTATTACAGTGATTACTCAATTTGCCTTCCAAAAGAAGGTTTAAATGGTTCATTCAATTTTGTGATTTTTCTGGTAAAATTATGAGATTTTAGTCTTTAAAAAAACATAATTCAGGACTACCAGAACTTTCATATTCAAGACAGGATCTCACTATGTAGAGTTCATTATAAATATAGTGCAGGCTGGCCTCAAACTCATGGCAATCCTCCTGCCTCAGCCTCCTGCATGGTGGGATTTTACAGGTATGCAACACCATGCCTGGCTCTACTACTACGAAAACTTATAAATGAAAGTTTCTCTAATTTGTAGGATGGCTTACTGCCGACCCACTTTTAATTTACCTCCTTCCTGAGAAGGCAGGAAATGTAACACTAGGATCTCATACAGCTTCTCCTGCAGCTAAACTACCAGCTGACAAAGTTCTGGCCAATGCCTTGTACAGAGATCGCTGGTAAAATGCATCTCCTCCAAGGAAAAAAGCCAAACATCACTGAAGGCTATATGCCAAGGAGGAGATCAGGAGGAGATGGCACCCACATCCTGGACACCTTTCCAGAACTGCCCATCTGTGGACTTATGGTGAAAGGCAAATGAACTTGTTTTGGACATCAGTAAGATTGTGAATTATTTCAGCTAGAAACTGCTGATACATATGGGAACATTGAAATAAATTCTAAATACAAAGCAATACATCCACAAAGTTTGTATTTCTCTGGAGATAAGACTGCATTAAAAACACTAAAGATAAAGAGGTATATTAGGATAAACTTTTAAAAACCATAAGGAATGCTTTTAAGGGTCTACCACGTTTAGTTCTTTCCCCAGTGGGCGCTGTTTCCCCTTTCTTTTTTCTGTACTCTGTAATAATTTCTCTATGCTTCAGGTTAATGCATGTGAGAGGCACAAAAAAGCAAGGTTTAATCTCACTTGCTCAAGGTGCTAATCCCATCTGGGAACAAGTTAATTTTCAGTCTGTTTAAAGAAACTTCATCTACCAGTTCCTTCCTGGTTTCCAACTGTTCTTCTTTTTGTCCTAAAAAGCCTATGTCCACGACCCAAGCTAATGAGGAAATTCAGAACAGTTCTTTCTATAGAGGAACTATCAAAGTTAACTCTCAGAAAGAGCACCTTCTAATTTGAGTTGATTCTTAGGAAGATTACAAAACAGTTATGAGCTTCTACTCACTGCGTATCATAGGAACAAGGGTACAGGAGACAGAAAACCTCAAAAGCTTTAGCAATTATCAGCTAATATGCTCAATTCCAGCATCTAGTTTTAAAAAGATTTTTTTAGAAACTTGTCAGTTCTGTTTTTAGGATTTCAGTGACTTATTTTAAAAAATACTGACTTTACTTAAAAATTAAGCATCTGACTCTTCCTATGCTAAACACCAAATCAAGCAAGGCAATCAGTAATATTCAACTTATATAACCTGCCAAAGGACAACTATGTGTAGAACTTTTCACTTTAATAACAATGCAGGGTACACTTGGACTACCAATTACAGTCCAAATCTCTCAATTTACAGAGGAAACCGATAAAGGTAAAATTAATCTTCATAGTTTAGATTTTAAGAATCTCTAATAGAACAAGAAGCTCATCCTAAGAGAAAAATTTTAGGCAATCAATAGAAAAACTATTAAAAAAAACTGTAACTTTTCCAATTAACGTGCATTTTTTCTTTATGGCCTTTTAGAAAAGGGGTCCTTTCATAATAATAACCAAAAATACCTCCACTTACAACATTCCTAACATGGCTGCCACAGGCTGATTCTTTGTAAAGTGGAAGAATAAAGAAAAACAAGCCTGCCATAGAAAATACTCCTCCTCCTGCTGGAACTTACCTTTCAAAAGCAATCAGAAGAGCCTTTCACAGAAATGGCATCAGCAATAAAGTTTTTCAGAACAGTCCTAAATTTAAAGGGCTTTTAGAGTAGTAAGACTGCCTAATCCTACTAGAGGGAATTTTATGGGGGAGGTGGTGGTGTGTCTCTCAGTCTAAACTATATTGGAATTATATCTTACGAAGCCTATCAGAACAAGCGTATGCAGGAAAAATAACAACACTGAAAGGATTTATATTGTGATTTTACATACTTAAAGCATGTAAAAGCATTTTTATGTTTTTCACCCTGTAAATTTCTATCATTTGACCTGAATTTCTAGCAATACACCTTAGTTAATAGCACTAAACTTCTTTAGTGGAACAATTCTACATGTGATCACTATCCAAAAACCAAAATGGTTATAAACAGAGGACAAAACTAACTCAGAACCATGGGGTAACAATCTGGAAAATAAGTATAAAACATCCTCACTTTAAACCTGCACGTTGACCATGACAGGGAGATGAAATGTAGAAATTTAACTTGCCATAAAAGGCAACTTTTAACAATAATAGCCACAACCAATATTTACATAGTAGTACATGGGCCGGCACTGTGCTTTATTTTTTGAGACAGGGTCTCACCATGTAGTTCAGGCTGGCCTTGAACTCACTAAGTAGCCCAGGCTGTGATCCTCCTGCCTTAAGCCTCTGGTGCTGGCATTACAGGAATGTGCCAGCAAGCCTGGTGGCACTGCACTATTTTAAATAAAGTCATTTAACACATGGGTAGTATTCAATACGTCTAAGGACTTAATAGGGTAGTACTATTATTATCTTCATTTTACTGATGGGAAACAGAGGTAGAGTTTAAATAACTTTGTCCAAAGCCATACAATAACAATCCAAGAGAGATGGGATTTGAATGCAGTTGTTAAGGTTTATGCTTTGTCTCTGAAAAAATGTAATACACACATTCTATGACAACTTTTCATGTTTCAACTATCTTTCAATGGTAAATGATAGATGACATACAATTTGAACACAGGACACAATTACTTTTAAATTGCTACAAGTACAAATGAACATGTTTTCCTTTCAATGTCCAAAACACAAAAATCTTGATCAAATTACTTAATTTTCTTTCATGCCAAAAATACATTAGGGTATTTATGAAGCACCCTCCTAGATTTGCAGGTCTCTCTTCAAATATGTGTTCATACTTAGTTTTACAGGTATTTTTATAAAATTTGACATTGAAAGTTATAAAATTAAATACCTCAAGACAAATATACAGACTAAATATATACACATATAAAATAGGACATTTCAATCCCTCTTAACTCTGTAGTGCCTCTTAACTCTGGAGATGGTGCCCCCACATGGGGTGTGGGGCATTATCTACAGACATCTTGGATTGTCACAACTAGGGTACGAAAGTGGCCCCCACAATAAGGAATTATTTAGCCCAAAATGTCAAGCCAGCTTTAATCAAGTCCCTAAGTAAGATAAAGAAGATTACACCATTTACAGAGCAAGTTCTGCCCTCTGAAGGAAGACCTCAAAACAAGATTAAATAGTCTACCAATCCGTCATTAGCAACAGCAACTGCTCTTCTGTACCTGTTCTCCCTAATCTACTTGACAGAATAGTTAAAAACAAAACAAAAGTTAAATTCCTACTTCATCAGTTATCCCTAGTATTTCACACCGGAAGGTATTCTCAACGTTTTACAAATAATCCTGAAGACAAAACGAGAGGCATTCCCCTACTGACCAAATACTATTTTCATTAAAAAGTCCTCAATAGTTGAAAAAAAAAGATGATCCTTAAAACTTTTTTTGCATGAGAAAGTAATCAGTTCAAACATAAGATAATATACTGTGGGGGTAACCCACTCAGGCCCCGCTTCTGTCCCTCTCCTGGACAGCAGCTTTCTTTCCCTCAATAAATATATTCTGCTCTTAACCTCTGTTGTTCCTAAAATTCATTCTTTGATTTTAGAGAACACTAACTCGTCCCAGATATCATTCAGGTTGGGAGTTTTTATTTTCCTGTATCATTTTGGAGTTTCCCATTGAGATCCTTGGACAGAGATTTAAAGCTATATGCCTACCCAAGATGAAAACGTCTATCAAGGGCCCTTAAATAGACCCTCTGAAGAGTATCTCTGACTGCTGATCAACAACTACAACCCCTTTCATCCTGAAGAAGCCAGAGCGGTCATCTCCCGTTACTTCCTCACAGCAGTTCAGGTTACTTCTTCAGAGCGGGGGAATGTCATAGGCAGCTGAGTTAGACAGACATATTATAGGCAGTCAGACAGGGCCTGCCCCTCTAAGGAGCCACAATGGAAGACAAGATACCTTACAAATGGAGAGATGGTAGCTGCTTTGGGCCAGATCTCAAGACTAAAGATTACACAAAGGCACCCTCTTACCTCCCAAGGGATGGACCTCAGGGATTGATATTCTAAATAGGTAGCAATCACCGTGAAGAGTCCCTGACCCAACCCCTTACAGGAAAAGCTCTCGTTCTGTATTCATGCCTGCTTGCTACGTGACTCGCTTCCCCATTTGATCCCAATTTAATCAATTTTACCTGAACAATTATTATTGGCTGACCATAGTTTTGTCCATTTTCCCTACCTTGGACCTGCTTCACCTTGTGGTTTTGCTCTATAAAGTCCCTAAAAAAGACAAGAGTCCTGGGTATCCCACTCGGCCCCATTTCCGTCCCTCTCTTGGACAGAAGCTTTCTTTCCCCCGATAAATATATTCTGCTCTTAAAAAAAAAAAAAAAAGCTAAGATACCGTGAAAACAATTCTGTAACAATTTGCTCCTGTGTTCCTGTCCAGGATGTGCATCTCACCTACTTCCCTTACCTTAACTATATTCTAGACTTCAAATCCAGCTCAAAGCCTGCAGCACATCAAATCTAGGCCACAACAACTTCAGTTTTCCAATTCTTACATTTTGGCTTGGCAATACAACTAAATGTTTGTTTAGGAAAAGATACAAGTTTGCACTTATTTCTGCATCTTCACAATTAAAAACAACTAATATAGAATTGTTTCCTGGATGTATTTATTATATACCAAAAATACTTAACACTCTCCATAGAAAGAAATACTTTACCTCCTCTTCACTTTCTTTATCTTCATCTGAAGATGCTTCCTTGTTTTTCTTTTCATCTTCATCACTACTAGATTCATCCGACAGAATTTCAAGACATTTCGTTTGTTTTGCCTTCCTTGCCATTCCAGAACTGTTTCGTTCCTTTTTACTGCCTTTGCTAGAAGTTTTTTTAGATTTTGGCAATGGCTGCATAAAAAAATTTATAACAACAACAATAAGGTATATTTCTAACTCAATCAACTGTTCTGACAACCATTTCTCAACTCTCAAGAATATAAGGTTAGGAGCTTTATAAACAATTCAGTTTTAATTGCTTCTTGGCCTTTTGGCTAAGATCAAGTGAAGAATTCATTTTTAACAATGTGTCAGGTTAATGTAAACTTGTATTACCTATCAATGTTCCCATGTGTTCTAAATCTCTAGCAAAAACTCTTTGCAAAGGCTGAGAAAATATGTATTCCAGGTTCTGACAATGGACTAGAAGCCCAAGTGCATACTATATTATGCTCAGACTGTTACCTACACTTTATCAGGGCAGTATTTTAAGTTAGATAATTTATTTCATTTTTTATAAGCATTAAAACTCACTGACAAAGGAGCTCCTTGTGTAAGAGGGTCCATGAATCAACTATCCATAAGGAAGATAAAACATGATCACAATTACATATCCTGAATTTGTGAATGAAGTACTGTATTATCTCTAAGCTCTACTTTCAACAATGCAAGATCACATTCTCATTGATGCTTCTGAATAAGTAATGTGTTGGGTATGTTAGTTATGAAGGTAATTAAGAACCACAAAACAGATGCATTACTATTACTCTGATATTCAATTAAACCACACATATTTTAAAAGCAGAGCAAATCACGAGAAAAATGATTGGATATTAATCAAAAAAATTTAATTTTTAAATGCTTTCTTAGGGGAGTATTTGCTAAATTCTGAAATTAAACACTATAAAATAGCCTTACATAAAGCACTGGAAATACATACACTAAGGAATTAGTATTATTTTTGAGGCTTTAAGTATCTTATATTTTGCCTGTTAATTTTCTACAACTGGCAGAAAAGTAAACTCTACAATATGAAGGAAATACAAATACAAAATGCTTCCAAATCCCGACCTCTGTAAATGTTGACATGATGCCCAGAAGAAAATTCCACCCCTGACCTCATATGATTCAAGTTCTAGTCAAATTGCATGGGGACTAAATATATTATCTTCAGGCTACATGTATGTGTACACTAGGGCTCATATAAAAGCCTAATGAGTTTTGTGTTAAAGTTTAAATACCACCCTAGGACATCTCATTATGTATATGCAACCCCCGACCCCCAAAAAACTGAAACACTTCTGGTCACAAGTGTTCCAGATAAGGAATACAGAATACACTTATATTTTCAACTATATAAATGTGGTAACATTAGGAAATATTTTTCATGCAATTAGCAAAACCACAGGTCTCCCAAGAATATCCAATCTTTTGGGGAGTAACTTGTCACCTACACAAAACTTAAGAAAAAGTGTTTTGTGCAATCTAGTATTCTTAGGCTATCTACAAATAAACCACAGGACAGTCTCTTCCTTGTCCAAACAATTCGCCTTTCTAAAGGCAAACCACAAAAGCCAATTTTGGCCATTCCAAAAATTTTAAGTTAGTGGACCAAACATACTTCTCAAACCGGATTCTCTACAAAAAACTTTCTTGAATGCATATCCCTGCTTGTCACCCATCACCAACTATATTACCAGGATCCAATTCTATTTAGATAAATTCTGACAGCACTGTTCAGAGAAAAGGTGGGTCTCACTATTCAAACTCTTACTGTTCACTACATGAACTCTAAGTCTCAAAAATATTAGAAAAATGTGATTCCTTCACTATTGAAGCTCAGGAAGCAGATGCAGGTAGTGAGGACACAGCATATATACAGAATTAGCAATGGTGACACTGCAATGAGAACTGGATAAATCTATACAGAAAACTGAAAGAATATATTAAATTATTCAAGTAACCAACAAAGAAAATGCAACTCCAAGAAAAAAACTTTCAAGTGAAAACACAAAATAATACACAAACGTTTTAGAGTATTATATGAATTCTAAATCTATTAATTAGAATCCAATGTCAATAGCATTGTCTCTTTTTGGAAACAAAATCTTATTAACAAGTAAGATCAAGATAGAAGTATAAGGTAGCAAAAAAAATGATGAACATTGCATTCCTTTAGAACTTTAAAAATTATTATAGAGAAAAACTAATGATGAGTTTACAGTATAGCATTTTTCTTAAGTGATGGAAGCATAGTAGCACAGAAAATAGCTTGAGCTTGGATATCCTCATATTAGGAAGTAATCTTCACAGGATCACACTTGAAGAACTGGTACTAAAGATAACTGTACAAAAGCAAAGATAGGTAAAATTGTGGGCCCCTTAGCATTAATAAAGGCAGGACATGTACTGCCTTTATTAGTCACTGTATGCCTTACAACTCCATAGAAGCAGTAACAAAAACAGAAAACTTTCAGTTAGGAGTGTTCTTGATGAGGCAATAAATATCTTTCAGCATTTGAGCAAGGATCTTTAAAACAACTACAACAAAATGGGAGACATATAAAGTATTCTGGCTACACATCAAAGTGCAATGGTTTGCTGTAGTAAGCACTTGTGCAAACTGTTTGAATTGTGAGCTAAATTAGCTACTTTTTTCAGGGAACATCATTATTTTTTTTGGCAGTGCTGGGAACTGAACCCAGGGCCTCACCGAAGGGAAACAAGCACTCTACTCCTGAGTGTTCTAGCTAGGCCTAGAACACCATTTTTAAAAGAACTGACAAACCTATAGATTTGATAGGCATATTCTCAAAAGTGAGCAGATGAATCTATTACTTACAGAAAAACAACTACAGTATTATCAGTAAATTTTACAATTTCAAGTGGAAATCAGAATGCTGGAAAAGCCACATTACCATAAACGTGATTTCCTAGTAGCTAAAAATTTTTCTGATGAGATGTTTAATTATTTCTTTATAGTTTCTATATCAACTTTTAGAAGATCTGCATAATTCAAGCAACTATTAGGTAAATGCATGTTACAAAACTATATACAAGTAAAAAATCCAAGATCATTAATATGCCTTCAAATCTACGTTACACATTACAACTTATCTTTAAGAAACTACCAATTGTGAATGAGTTGTTACATCAAAAGAAAATATCCACAATTATTTGAAAATATTCCTTTTTCTATCTACATATCTGCCAGAGGCTGAATTTTCTTCATATTCTTCATGGAAGAAAAACAGTACATTTTAATTTAAGAGACTGAGAAGCCAAAGAGAATTGAGCTTTTTCTTTTTTTTTTTCCTCTTGAGACAGGGTCTCGTTATGTAGTTCAGACCTGCCTTGAATTTACCATGTAGGTTGGCCCTGAACTTATGCTGATCCTCCTGCCTCCTGCCTCAGTGCAGGTACATACCACCAGCCTGGTGAGCTTTTTCTCTTAAACCAAACATTAAAGAGATGTACAAAATGGGAGAAAAAAAAAAGCTACTCTTCTCACCGATTCTTTTTTTTTTTTTTTTTTGTTTTTCTCCGGTACCGGGAACCGAACTCATGACCTTGCGCTTGCCAGGCAGGCGCTTTGCCACTGAGCTAAATCCCCAGCCCCTCACCAATTCTTTTGAAAGCACACTTTTTGCATAAAATATATTCTGTTAACATGTTATTTTAGAATAAACCTGTTTAGAATAAACCAACTCTTGGTATCCTCATTGATTTCTTTTTTAAAAAAGGGTAAAGGGGGTCCTAAAACCAACCAGTTTGAAAACCATTGTGAAAAGGAGTATAAATGTATCCTTTATAACTTAGGCAACTTGGTAATTACTTCTGAGGAAACAGCAATCAACTTGCCACATGAAATCCTAAAACAGCACAAGTATAGATGGTTACAGTTAAGTTAGAAAATAAAGATAACCTCTTATCTTCACATAGGCTAATCTGAGACATGAAAATCATTGTAGCTGCTTAACTAAAGTAGCACCATGACTGTTCTCTGCCCTTGTCCAGCCAACAGTGAGCAGAACCAATGGCAGGGAAATCAAGTCACAGAGCTGTTATTTTTTGGGTTTTGTTTTTAAATTCTTCATGGTCTCTCCTCCCCTCAGCAAATGGCATTCTCCTAAACTCCTAGACCTGCAGGACCTCTTTTATGTTCAGTTTCTACAAAATAAGGAAGGAATATGAAACACTAACCCTGTCTTAAAAATGCAAGGTCAGCTAAACACTTCCACAGATGTTTTTATTAACTGATACTATCTGCTGCTATACAATTAGGTGTAAACCTAAATTTTAGGTAGAGTGGGAAAATTAGCAGACTTTGTTTTCCTTGTCCAAGCTCCTAAGCCTCTGCTAAGGATTCTGGGAATACAATGTAGGACCATCTTTGTTGCAACATCCAGTTCTAATACACCTTCCATCTTGTCTTTTTTTTTTTGTTTGTTTTTTCTCCAGTACCAGGAACCGAACTCACGACCTTGCGCTTGCCAGGCAGGCACTTTGCCGCTGAGCTAAATCCCCAGCCCCCTCCATCTTGTCTTTCTTGTCCTTGATTACATGTTGTCTCATCCTCCAGCCTAACTCATCCTCAGTTCGTTTCCACTGTCCTGGGCCTTTAGTCACAGAACCCTAGTTTATATTTTGTCTCATCTGACATTAATTTAGTTATTTTCTTAATATTCTTTCTACCGCTCATATCTGATACAAGGAAACATACTCCTATACTTTCTATATTTCTATCATGAAAGTGTTGCAGTTTTATCAATGGAAGGCCACATTCCAATGAATGTAGACATTACTGAATGTCAAGTGCAATGATGCTTAAACTACTATTTTATAGAAAAAAGCAACTACCATTAATCACTAATTGGTTACTCAAACAGTAAAAATTTGTCCTCACTTTGCCTGATGGTTTTGGATGCATTAAAAAATTCAAGATCCTCTTCACCAGTTCACTATTTACACCGGATCTCTCCAAATCAAGAACTTCACATATACTCTTTAACATGGCATTTCTAAACCTGAAACAAGAAAATGGGAAAAACCAAGGATTTTTTAACATTCCCTACAACATAAAGATAACAGCCAGAAACAGCCTATTTTCTCTGAACCTTAATCTTGGCTAATGTACAACCAGATATGATTATTAGGAAAGTGAAAACAGCCCTTATCAATTAAGTTTCAAAGGCAGTCAGTATAAGAATAAATGGACTTTTAAGTAAATTGACTAGAAAATTATGTAAAAAGTTTTCAATACTACAAAACTCATGGAACCTGATAATTCTTCTGGCTAGTGATAAAATATTACACTTTCTCCTCAGCATTTCAACTATGATGTTTCAGAAAAACTAGGGGCTGGGGATTTAGCTCAGCGGCACAGCGCCTGCCTGGTAAGTGCAAGGTCATGAGTTCAATTCTCGATACCAGAAAACAAACGAACAAAAAGAACTAGGAAAGTAAATTAATTAATTAATTTATTTATTTATATTTTTGGCTCTTTTTGAGACAGGGTCTCACGATGCAGTTTAGGCTGGCCTTGAGCTCACTTTGTAGCCCAGGTTGGTCATGAACTTGCAATGATCGTACTGCCTCAGCCTCCCAAGTGCTGGGATTACAGGTATGTGCCACCGTGCCCAGCTTTACTTAAGTTCTTAAACTATCAGCATTTAATGAAAGCTTTAAGAGTTATGACCTTTCTGGCACTATGATGAAAAATACTGTTTCTATCAAACTGATGACGTTCAAACAGCTTAAATGGTTTTAAAAAGGAACAGAGAGCGGATGGGATAGGAAGAGGGAAGATTTTTACACATTCCCTCTAGACCTTTTGAATTTTGGACTCTGAATAATTAACTTGTACATATCACTCTTCTAGGAAACAAAACTTTCTTTAAAACTGTTCAATAATCCTGACGGTCATCGTTTGTTGGATATTAATGAATATCCCAAGCTAACACCACAAAGAAGTCCATTCTTGGCACTTAAGGTAAAAGCAAACAAAAACCAACATTCTACCAAAAAGGAACAGGTAATTATTTTTAAGAAAAAATAAACATGGTAACTTACTTTTTCAACATTTCTTCCTTCTTTTTATATTGTGTACTCCCTTTTTCAAATGGAAAGCCACTGAACTGACCCACATTCTTCTTTAATGAGGACACCTGAAATATTTCTCTTATTAATACTACTTATCTAGTAATGTACAAAAGGAAAATTTAAAGCCAACATCTTTATTTTCATGTGTCCCAGTCACAATATTGATTTATTCAATGTTTACTATTCAAAACTAAAAAAATATGTTACTAGTATATTAACATCTTAAAAATCCTACAAGCTTAATTCTATAAAAATAAAGTTTGAATTTGAGTGGATTCCCATCTAGGAATTTTTACAACTTATTTCATAGTATCAGGAGATACTACTAGTTGAGACTTGTGGAATTTGGGTAATGAGGACTGAATGAGATTAATATACATGAAAATAAATTACACCATGCTTCAGACATTCTAACATCAAATTTAATCCCCCTCAAACAAGACAAAGCAATTTCTTTAATTATATAAAAATACTAAGTTATACACATAGTGTAATAAAAAAAAAATACCCTTTAGTAAAGACTTACCACCTACTTTTATTAAGTTTTTGCTCAAAATGTCATACAGTTACACTGAATCATTTATTCGGAGTGGCCAGAATACCCCCAAAATAAATTTCTTCTAATATAAAGATTAAAAGCATTAATTTGTATTTCGTAATTTGAAATTTCAGTTTGAAATAAAAAGAATGGCACTACAAAGCCCTGGGCAGTGTATCCCTAACTGCTACTATGTGATCTGTGGTAAAAGACCAGTTTGCTTATTTGTACACGGCAGAAATTGAACTCAATCTTTATTTTTCTTCTTTCAATTTTTTGGGTTTTTTTTTTTGTTTGTTTGTTTGCTTTTCTTTTTTCTGGTACCAGGAATCGAACTCACGACCTTGCGCTTGCCAGGCAGGCACTGTGCTGCTGAGCTAAATCCCCAGCCCCTATTTTTTTTATTTTAAAGAGAGTAGTAAAAGAAAAAAAAAAGAACAATATCAGTATACCAACATCACAAACACAAACAAAACAAAGCAAGAACATTAACAGTGATACAGGGTTTCAAAACAAAATGATAGGAATTAACAGTGGTTGTTGTATTACATAGTATCTTCAATTATGTTGCTCAGATTACCAGATGTAAGAATGGAAGATCTGAACTCAATCTTTTTTGGGTTTTGTAGTAAAGGGGATTGAACCCTTGGGCTTCCACATGCTGGGTAAGCTCTGTACCTGTACCACTGAGCTACACCACCCTGAGCTCTCTCACTGAGCCAGGGTTTCAGTTCCCCTGGCTAGCTTTTTTCGATTCTCCTACCTCAGCCTCTTCATGTGTACCTGGGACTACAGGCTTATGCCACTATGCTGGTTCATTAAAGTCTTCTACAGAACTAAAGTTATGGTTCTACTGTGAAGTACTTTAATACATAAACATGTAAATAAACTAAAAGTATAAGAAAAGGTCTTACTGTGCCTGGTCTGTTGTAAAGCAGTTTGTGTAAATTTCTTAGTTCATCTGTTTTTTTCTTACTTAGAAAGAAATGTATCCTTTCAATTTCACAAAGTTTCTGCCCTTTCCCTAGAAAAAAATCACAGTTAATTACCTATTATTATACATTTATAAAGTTAATTTTATGAGAATTATTTTATAGTGTAACAGAATATAACAAAAAATTATAGCGTAATTTATATATCTATGCTTTAATGGGGAAAATTAAATAAAATTACTTACCAAAAATTTACTGCCACTTCCTCAGCACTAAATACCCTGTTTATACTAAATACTGCTAAGCATCATTTTTCCATATCTGGACATTTTCACCATAAAATGGAAGAAATATACAATACACTTTACCTTGTGCAATCGTAAATGGTTCTCTTTGTAAGGAAGACACTTGCATTGTCAACCTCTCTACTTTCTTCTTTTCCCTCTTGCCTTCCACGATGAGACTCTTTTCTAGAAATTAATTCAGTATTTCTTAAACAAAAAACTAAAGAATATCAACTCTGCTGGGCTTCTTCAACCAAAAGCTACACAATGTATTAACTCTATTAGGCAAACATAAACGAAAGAAAACCCCCAAACATTCTTCTCCAAGCATGCTTGTCAAAAGCATATAAAAGTTTTTAGCATAACATCTTACTTACCTGGCAAACTCACAGGGACCCACTTAAAAATAATCAGAAAATAAACTTTTTTGTTCAACTATAATTACTGCTGTTAAAATCCAAGTATTTTATTTGTAAATAATCATCCAGCTCTAAGTTTGTCTTATTTTGTATATATTTACAAGGCTCAGTGTGATAATTCAATATATGTACATAATACGTACTGATCAAATGAAGAGAATTACTTTTCCCATCTCATTTGTTTTGTCAGCTATTGAACTCCTTTCCTCTATCCTTCATTGAACAAATATATTCTTTCCTGAGCTGGGGATTGAACTCAGGGCCTTGTGCATGCTAGGCATGTGCTCTGCCACAGACACATTTCCAACCCCTTAAACATATACACTACTGTAAATTACAGACCTCCTGCTGTGCTGGAGACTACCAGAACTAGTCATATTCAACTGTATTTTTGTACCTTTTATCAACTATCAGCTAAAAAAAAAATTCTACAAGTTCATAACGATGAAAATAAATCATTCTGAATGTTAAAATTCTGTTTAGCCCAACCTGCCTGAAACAAAAAAATAACATGACTCAGAAAATGAGTGTATACTTTATAAAGTTTAAGACATTATTTTATCTAAAACCATTTACCAGTGGCAAGATGGGGAGTGCCAATCCCAGCACTTGCGAAGTCGAGGCAACATGAGTTTGAGGGCAGCCTGGTCTACATAATGAGTTCAAGGCCAGCCTGAACTACAGCAAGACCCCATCTCAAAAAAAAAAAAAAAAAAACCCAAACAACAAAAACCAAACCCTACTGATTGAAATAAAATCAAATAAACTATCACAATAACATTAGACATAGTTGACAATTCTTTCATTCATTTGAGCGAATGTTTATTTTACAGAAAACTGCACTCAGTATTAAGCAGGAGTTAACAGATGACTATGACACAGTATTTCTTGAAAATGATCTTCTCTCATGGAAAAGATACAGATAACACAGATGATGATAAAACACCTTAAAATACAAATAAAGTTCTGTGTGCCAAGGGAAGATTAGGTTTGGTTTATGTGTTTTTGTTCTTGTTTTCTCTTTTTTTTTTTTTTTTTTTGGACCAGGAGTTGAACTCAGAACCTTGCGCTTGCCAGGCAGGCACTTATGCCCCTGAGCTATATTCCCCGGCCCTCAAGAGAAGATTAGGAAAAAGAGAACCAAACAATGGCAATGACTCTGAAAGACAGGTAAGATTCAGGGATGTAAGGGTTCAAGCAGAATGAGTCAGGAGAAAGGGATGCTACCAGGTGTATACTGACACTGCTGTATACAATGAGGAACAAACACGGTAGGGCAATTTGTAGGATCAGTCAACATCTTTCCTATGGTGAATTAAACTGTTCACTTACTTCTGAATATCACCCATAAGTAACTTGGCCAGAGCATTTTTCTAAGACTCAGATTAACCTAATGTACCTCTGGCAGCGACCTGAACAGTTCCATTTTACATCCTACAGGTACCTACACTTAACACATCCAAAACAGAAGTTATAATCATCTCCAAACTTGATCATCACTGTAAATTTATTTCAGGAAACACTACTACTAGCTGAGTGTGGTGGCACATGCCTGTAACCCCAGCACTTGGGAGGCTGAGGCAGGAAGATTGCTCCAAGTTTGAGGCCAGTCTGAACTGCACAGTAAGGTCCTATGTCAAAAAAAAGCAAAAAAGAAAAAGCAAATACTAATACCATCGGTTCAAATGCCAAAGACAAAAAAACTAGGAGTCATCCTTCCACTAGTGTTTTCTCTCCCCTTCCTCCCAAATTATCACCAATTCGGGCTAATTTGACACTTTGTCAGACTTAATTTTCCTGCCTTGCTTCCAAAATGCCTCTCCACTAATTAAATATCCAGAACTATGAGAGAATAAGAACTTTCACAACCCTAGTTGTCCCATGAACACCCTAAAAAAGAACAAACAAACTTAAGGAATGTAATGAATCAGACAACTACAAAACTTGGACATACTTTTTATAAAATGTTTTTTAAAAAGTCACAAAGGCTGGAGGTGTAGCTCAGCGTTAGTGTCTGCAGAGCATGCACTAGGCCCTAGTTTTGATCACCAGCACTGGGATGCATGTGTGCTAGTGTGTGTTAAAATCAAAATGCACAATTTGTCTAGAAGGAAATCTGGGACTCTCTGAGCATCAGTGTTTTCGTCATTTATATCTACAGAAATTATGCAATTTATTCCTGACCAAGAAAATCCATAATCTTTGTGGTTACCTCAACCCAGCCCCCTGAAAGTCTTAAAGATAAACAAAAAACTGGAAAAAAATTCATGAGAATGTCTTAGCTAGGAGTGAAATACACAACCAGTTTTCAGTCCCAGTATTACAAATAAACATGCATATTCACATTAAAGTTTTCAATTAAACGCAATGCTCCACTCAAATACAGAAATAATTCCTTATTAGGGGACATGCCACTTCAGGCAAAAGGCCTAGCCTGTTATCAATCTTAACCCAGACAGTATTTACAGAAAGCTGTCCAAGGACTGATTTAAACTTAAAATGACAATGTAAACCTGGGTTTGGAAAGAGAACTTCAAGCTCTTCCCAATTCGTCTGAACTGTGTGGCCATATAGAAATAAACCTAAACTGTGCTGCTATCATCACAGAATGCTAAGAGTTGTGGCATTAGGGACTTACAAATTGCTGAAGCATCTCTGGAAGCTGGCACAACTCAAAAAGGCACTGGGGCCCCACATCTTGAATAAATTACCCAGGCCCACTCTATAAAGTTAAGTTTCTTGTTTTATGGCTCCAGTCCATCAACAGTTAATACCACCGTCCTGCAGGGCAAACTCAGATCAAAACCGAGACAGCTGTGGGCTCATAACTTCCTTTCACAGTTCACCTCTTTCATTTTTAACTACTTTCTCAGCAACAGCTTTCTCCGGTGTTTTCTCGTCAAAGAAACTCTCTTTTGAGAAAGGACTTCTGCTGAAGCTCAGCAAATACAAAAACAAAACCTTACAATAACTTCAGAAGGCACAAAATTGCGTGATGAAATCAGCAATATCAAAACATTCCCTTAGCAAATGGAAAGGGCACACACACACCATTTGAAAATAAAAAACAGATCTGAGACTTACAAACTTCCTGTCAAATGATGAAATGTTAGGAACGCGTATTCCGAGGCGGGAAGTCGGCTACATTCCCGAATCGTATCAGTGCTAAGAAATATTTTTTTAAAACCAGAGAGCACAAAGCCGATTCTCTGCCATTGTTCAACATAAAAACAGATTTCGCATACATTCTTGCTAAAAAGTACTCCGACTGAATGCCTGTAGGCGCCAAAAAGTAAGAAAGCTGCTTCCTTCCAAAAAAAAAAAAAAAAAAAAAGACTTCGGTCTAAGAAACACCCATCGCTTAGGGATGCCACTTCCCCCCCACCTTTTTCTTCCTCCTCGTCCTCGTCCTCGTCGTCTTCCTCCTCCTCCTCACTCTCCTCTCGCGGGTCGGGCATTTCGGGCTCCTTCTCGGACGCGGGCTGGGCCGGGGCTCCGTCTCCCTCCGCGGCGGGGGCCGAGGAGGACATGCTGGGACCTGCGTGCAGGACGGGGCGGCCGCCGTCACCTCCGCCCCCGCGGGGGAGCGCGGGTCCCAGCCTCCAAGTTGCCTCCTCCCGCGGCCGGACGGTGCCCGGAGGCGGCGCCTGCCCGCCGTCCAGCGATGCCCGAGGCGGGAAA